ATCGAGATATTAATAAGGAACCAGCAGATCAAGTAGCTTTTGGAATAAAACACCAATTTTTTTAAAATTAAACACTATCTAAAGATTTGCATCGAAGCGTTTATTTTTGATAGTGATTTTAATCACTGTCAGATATCATTTATTTGATCCAACTATGCCACGTCACCACTGTGCCGCGACCCCCCTGTGCTGGGTTTTTTTTTTTTTGTGTCTGTCACTACTTTTTCTCAGCTCTCACTAGACGGATTTTTTTCAACANCTACTTTTTCTCAGCTCTCACTAGACCGATTTCTTTCAACAATACGTCAAAAGATCACAAATCGTATCTAGTTGAAGACATTACCCTTAAAAATTGAAAAATTTTCCCTCGTTCCCCGCAAATGGGGAAATATCCAAAAAAAATGACAAATTTAAAAATCGTTAAATTTTGTTATTTTTTTTACTTTTTTTTCTTTAAACTTCCACAAATTTTTATATATATAATATAAAAGGTATATAATAGTATTTTTATCAGTAAGATCACTTAAATAAAAATCATAGTAATCATTTCTAATTAACTTTTGGCGTTTAAAAAGATTCTACAATGGAAATATTCAGAATTTAATTAATTTTAATGATTATATATCTAAAAAAACCAATAAAAAAAAAGTTATTCAATTTAGCCTATTATAAAAAAATAGGGCAGTGTATTGCCCTTATAAGATATTTTTAAATAAAATACAATACAAAACCCAGGATTTTAACAAAAAATTAGCATATTTTTGATTACAATAGCCATTTGCGCATAGAAGATAGGTCGTCGGGACAAATTTTTTTTTTAATTTTATAGTACATGACATAAGCTTTAATTTGACATATGTTTAAAGGACGCAGTATTTCCGGAACATTTTCAAAAATTAAGTTGAAAAAGTTAATTTTTGTAAAAAAGTTTCTATTTTAAATCCCCCCTGTGAGCAGGTTAAGTGTTAGATTTTCAAAAAGATGATATCAAATGAAAGGGAAATATCTAAGGTTTTAGTATAAAAAAAAGTTATGTTGATTTGTTTATTTTTGAAAAAGTTATGGAAGTTTAAAGAAAAAAAGTAAAAAAAATAACAAAATTTACCGATTTTTAAATTTGTCATTTTTTTTGGATATTTCCCCATTTGCGGGGAACGAGGGAAAATTTTTCAATTTTTAAGGGTAATGTCTTCAACTAGATACGATTTGTGATCTTTTGACGTATTGTTGAAAGAAATCGGTCTAGTGAGAGCTGAGAAAAAGTAGTGATAGATACAAAAAAAACACATAATGGTAAAATTAATACCTTCTCAGCTTCGCATCGAAGCTAAAATTTGTCTCGACACCTTATCTTCTATGAGCAAATGGCTGTCGAAATTAAAAAAAAATGTAATGTTTGCGATAAAAATTACCTTTTATAACTGCCATAATTTTTTCAAATATTAACAAATCAAAATAATATTTTTTTATATTGAAACCTTATGTAATTTCTTTTCATTTGTTATCATTTTTTTTGAAAATCTAACACTTATTCTGCTCACAGGGGGGATTTAAAGTAGCAACTTTTTTACAAAAACTAACTTTTTCAACTTAACTTTTGAAAATGTTCAGCAAAATACTGCGTCCTTTAAACATATGTCAAATTAAAGCTTAAACATGTACTATAAAATTAAAAAAAAAAATTTGTCCCGACGACTTATCTTCTATGCGCAAATGGCTATTGTATTCAAAAATATGCTATTTTTGTGTTAAAATTATGGGTTTTGTATTTTATTTTATTTTAAAATATCTTATAAGGGCAATACACTGACTTTCATGAATATTATATAATTTAATTGACATAGAATAAAGTTCATAAGATATAAGAAATTAAACTTATTAAATTTTTTTTACTTTTTTAAAGTCGAAAAAGTAATTTTTAAATTTGTGTTAGCTTTAATTGCTAATTTTATTATGCGACGAAAACAACGAACAGTTGTCGAACCGGTAACACTTGTGTCATTCACGCATAGGGTACAAAGTTCAAATCCGTCTGTGGCAATTAATATTTTGCATTTTTTTGAGTTAAAATAAAATTTTCAAATCATTTGATATTTATCTCATTTAGATTCAATAACTTTAATAAATATAAAGGATCCTATCACTATAGTCTCCCCTCGTGAGAAGAAATTTAAATTCATGTTAATATTATTTTACTATGTGGATATTTTTGTGGCTACGACTTATTTTGCCAACCCTCACTAGACCTACTTTTTTCAACGATACGTCAAATGATTAAAATTCGTATTTAGTTTAAGTTATTACACTTAAAAATCGAAAAAATATTCTTTATTCAAATAAAAAGTAGCTTAACCAGCTTTTTTTATGCAAACAATTAAAATCATTAATTTCTAATATTCTTAAAGTATTTATTGTCGAATTAGATTTGATATGATAAAAGTATTCAATTATAAAAATAAATAATTTTACTTTGTAATTTATTAATTTTTTAACTCTATTTGTGTGTGCTACTACCCGTCTATAATATTCCAAATTTTTTTGTACATTTTGCAATATAAATCATAAATTTAAAAAAAAAAATGATTTTTAGTTTCACCTGAATTTAACGATGGATTTTTACAATTATAATAAAATTTTATAATACGCTAAATTAAGTATATCTTTTTAACAACTTTTAGCTTCGATGCGAAGCTGAGAAGGTATTAATTTTACTATGATGTGTTTTTTTTAGATATATTAATTAAATTCTAAATATTTCCATTGTAGAATCTTTTTAAATGCCAAAAGTTAATTAGAAATGATTACTATGATTTTTATTTAAGTGATCTTACTGATAAAATTGTAAAAAAATCTAACTTTTCTGATAAATATACTGTAAATAGTAATTATAAAATTTGCTGACAGTATAATAATCTTAACAATTTCATTTTTATCTATTTAATAATGTCAATTTCAAACTTACAAATTGAGCTACTTGTTATGGTAATAACTTTTACTTTAAAGGACAATAAAAAGTAGGTTCAAAATTATTACTTTTAACATATTAAAAATCAAAATCAATAATAATTTGAAAACAATTAATTTTAAAAATTATATAATATATAATTAAAAGTATTACTAATCTGGGTATAATTAAGGAAATAGAAGTTGATGTTGCTTTTGTAATTATCCATCAAATTCTTAGAATTAAACACTATCTATAGATTTGTATCGAAGCGTTTCTTATGATAATGATTTTAATCACTATCAGATTAAATCTATACTGAACCCAACTATGCAACGTCTCCACTATGCCGCGACCCCACTGTGCTGGGTTTTTTTTTTCATTTTATAGTATATAACATAACCTTTGATTAGATATACAGAGTGGCCCACCACTCACTGACAACTTAAATAACTTTTGATCCAGTTAATATTTTTAGTTGATTTTTTTTTTAAATAATAGTTATACGTGAAGGGTACTTACCCCCCTCACCTATATGACTATATTGTTATTAACTTGCACTACTTTCGATACAATTCTCACATATCATTAATATTATCAAAGAAAAGAAAAATTCTCAATTTATTGATAATTAAATAATTTCAGTTTTGTCGGTCATCTGTTGGGGGTAGTACGTGTACTCAATTAAATGATGTCATCATAGATGCTACAGACTTATTATTTGAGTCTCGATTCGAGTCTGGAAATTTAGCAAAAGCAGTGAAAATAACAGGGACGTATTATGAACTTTCACTTCGGCCTGATATGTATACCGACCGTCATACGCAATGGTTCTATTTTCGGGTTAAAAATACTAGAAAAAACATAAAATATAGGTATTGTATACAAATTTTTAATAATAAATAATAATTATATTATAAATTATTATGTGATGAACCGAGCTCGGTACTTTATGCATTTACAAACATTTTTTTGTTATTCTGAATATATTAATGATTAACAGATATTCCTGTTAGTTTTTTTAACACTAAACAATTAATATTAATTAAAAATTTAATTTTGGTGAACGTATGGGGATCACTACCTCCTAGAATGAAAAATATTTCTGAAGTACTTATATACTTATAATAATTCTTCACGAAGTTGAGTGTCTTAGAGAGCGTTCAAACAAATTTTATAATTGGAAAAAGTCCGAACCCTTTAATGATGACAAAACAATTGTGATTGATATAATGTTGATTAGATTTTCAATTGTCAACATGTACAAATCAGAAAGTTTATTCACTGCTGGTATGAGACCACTGATGTATTCAACAATTGAGGCCAGTCAAGGGAAAACTGGCTGGAGACGTTGTGGTGAAAATATTGCATATTACCTTAATGATGGACAGTAATAATATAATTTTAATTTTTGTGTGTATTTGTATCTAACATTTTTTGTTTGTTATATATACAAATAATAATAGAAATGGAGATAGTACTGAAGAGAACCCTAGATATATATTATCTTTCCAATTAGAATTTCTTCATGATGATGATCAAGTATATTTGGCATACAGTTACCCCTACACGTATTCGGACCTACAAGAGTATCTAATAAAGCTCAAGGTATTTTTTTCCATTTAATATTTTTGTAAAAATAAGAATTATATCTAGGCTTACAGAATTTTTTGATGAAATGGGGCAATATATTTTTTTTTAACATTCGGTTTTGCTGTCTACTTAGCAAGCACAGTGTTGAAGTGATTACCGTTATTCTCGTTAGAAGGTAATAATAATTAGAAAAAAAAAAATTCAACGAAATCGTTATTGTATCATAAGTGATTAAATATGTCAACACCTTGTGGAATATTCTGTAAAACATTTTTTTGCGTAGAGAGAAAATACAATTAGCACCCGTAAAAATGTTATTCTAATAGGCACCTATAAGTTTTCCAGGGAAAAATGATTGTAAATAAAAAATTATTTATTAATTATAAAATTAAGTGTCCATAAATCAATTAATAAAATATATTTCTTTAATTTATTACTTTAAAAAATAAAAAACAAAAAGTAACTGTATTAGTTAGTTATTAAAAATATTATACAGTTTTAATATTAGAATAAAATAAATGATAAATGGAAAGGCACATTCAAACCATATTATGCATTCTACCTTTGAAGATTTATTTATTTTTGTCAAAAAGGAAAACTTAGGTGACAATGCACTTGGTCGAACCACTACGTGTTATTAGTCTATAAAAATAATATACTTAAACTTGACGTTCATAATATAATTTTATGAAAATCATTTCTTTTTTTAAATGTACATAAATTTTACTATACACAACGATTATAAAAATTGATCAAGCAAAAATCAAATGCTCTACTTTTCCATAAAAATTGTTTCATCTTAAAGGGTAAAATATACCTAAATATATCTAAATATGGTATTTATTTATTTGTATTATGAATAGGATGATCCAGTTAAATCTTCTTTTACCAAACTCCGTGTGTTGTGTAAATCATTAGCTGGAAACAATGTTCACTACTTGACGGTTACTGAACCCTGTCGTGATCAAGAAGACCAAAAAGCGAGTATAGATATATTATGCATTTATAAAATTTATTTTGGTCATCCCGAGTAAAATAATAATAATTCATGTTAGTTTTTCTTAACACTAAACAGTGTGTATTAATTAAAAATTTAGTTTTAAAAGTCGTAGGGGGTCACACCCCTTAGAACAAAAAGTATTCCTATAATATTGTACACACTTATGATCATTTATCACGAAGTTGAGTATCTTAGAATGTTCAAACCATTTTATAAATGTATATTAATGACTAATATATATTTAAATGAAATTATTTATAATATAAATTATTTATAACGCAGCTTTAATCAAAAGTTTAAATATTTATTTTATTTATAATAAAATTATTATCTCTTATTCTCACATGTTGTGTGTTATTAGGAAAAACAAGTGATTGTTGTTACAGCACGTGTTCATCCCTCAGAAACCCCATCATCTTGGATGATGAAAGGGTTAATTGATTTTTTAACTGCAGATACGCCTCAATCAAGAGTAATAAAACTTTGTTTAAACTAATTATTATTGATAAAAAAAAAACAGCGATATATTTTAATTTATTTTCATTTCAATTTGTAAAACGTTTTTTTTGTAGGAGCTTAGAAACCGCTTCATTTTTAAATTGATACCAATGTTAAATCCTGATGGTGTAATAGTAGGCAACAGTCGGTGTTCGTTAAATGGTCGAGATTTGAATCGTCAGTACCGAAGTGTCATTCGAGATGCTCATCCAGTTATTTGGCACACTAAGCTCATGTTGAAAAGGTGAACATTCAACTCTTTTAAAATATTAAATAATCATTATAGTAGCTAGTATTGTAACATAAACAGTGATATTTACATAGGTATATGACATTTACCCATTTGCTATTTATAACAAAGTATCAAACAGTTTGTACTTTTCCTGTTCTTGACGAATTTATTAAATAGGACAGATTATATTTATACTAAATAATTAAAAAGCTAATGGCTTTAGAATTTATGAAAATACTATAATAAGTAATCAAATAAAATTAACGAGCAGAGTCTACATAGTGATGCTTAAGGAATATGCTTAAGCGAGCTCTTTATATTTTCCAGAAAAATTACCAATTTAGAATAAAAATAAATATAGTTTTTTTAAACTATATTTATTTTTCACTTTTTAGTTTCATGTTATGATAGTAGTTACTATCAATATCATGGTTGTAACAGGTAACGGGAAATCAGGGTTCGATTCCGGGGAGGGAGTCTGAGAAACGGCTACCAGATCCAAGGGAAGCAGCAGGCGCTTAAATTACCCACTTGCGGAACGTGGAGGTAGTGACGAAAAATGACGATACGGGAATCATTTCCCGTAATTGGAATGAATACACTTTATATCTCTTAATGAGAATAAAGCGTATTAATATATAAGTTTTGCTTACGTTTTAATTTAATCTAATTTTAATAGTAATTAGAATATATATATATATATACATGTAAAGCGACTTAGGTACGTAAACGTATTATGTACGAGGTATAGCCGTGTTTTGTTGGCGGGCATGGCGGGGGGAACGTTATACACGAGGCATAAACGGCGGCAGCGGCGTCGGCTGTAGGAATATATAAATGAATATTAACATATACAAATATACATTAAATATTAATATACATATATATTAATATTAGTGGCGGCGGCATGAATATATAATCTTCGTATAATATCGCGGCATTTTCGCTGGTGTCGACGACGCGATGTCCGGCGTGATCCTCGGGCGTCGAAAAGTTAGCAGCGTTAATGGCGACGGTACGCGGATGCGGATCGGTTCGGTCGTGCGGCACGTCAGGAGCCGGTGGCGTACATCATCGACGTTGCCACTTTAACAACGGGAAGAAGATTCAACGTATCATTGGCGGCGGGTCATCGTCGGCCGTGCGGCACTTGCTGGACTTTACACCGTGGCGTATGGTCACTTATACTAATAGTAGGGCGACGGCTGTTAAAGGTAGCACGAGTGACGGGACCGTGTCTCAATAAAAATTTATTTACATATATATATATAATTGATGACACGCGCGTCTACGGGTTGGAAAATATTATTTTCGACGACTGTAGAGCGGGGTGGAGTGAATGCGTTACGACCGTCTAGTCTCGTGCGCGTGGAAAGTTACAAACATCCCACATACAAGTGAAACTAATATAAGCGTGTTAAAAAAAAAAATAATAAAGACCTCATAGGACTCAAAAATATTTAATTTTAGAGTGATGGATTAGTTTTTTTAAGTTATCAACACTTTACTTATGTTGACAAAAAAAAAAAAGTGGAGAGTTATACCCAATGTACAACCCACGTGGCAGGCACGTAGACATGGGTGGGCCTGGCTCCCCTTAGATTTAATGTGGCCCATGGCCGGCCTCCCAAATTTAAAATTTAATTATTTTTACGAATTATCAAAAACGTACTAGGTCTTATATACATTGAAATTATTATTAATTTGTGATTACTATTGAGTAATACAGTTATTATTATGGCTGTATTTTCATTTTTATATTCATAGAAAACGTTATTTGAAAAAGATAACGTTCTAGACGTAATAATAAATGGAATAGCAGTTACTCCAAACGTGGTTGTAGGTAAATTTTTTTTAACTCTGGTCCAACAAATGATAACAAACTACCAAGTATCTGCATTGATTAGAATCTAGTTGATTACAAATATCGATAGAGTATACTCTATGAAAATTTTTTTGATAAATCTTATCTTTAATTTGTTTCTTTTTTTATTTTAATTTAGTTGTTACAATAGGTAATTTATTTGTTTTTGTTAATTTGTTATTTGCGTGCTCTAAATAATAGTAATAAAAATATGACTAAAAAAAAAGGCAGGAATTGTTTTTAATTTTAAATAAAATAAATTTTACATTGTTTATAATTTATATTTATTTTAAAAATTTTTATAACTTATTTGTTATTAGTATTTAGGTATAAATTATTTTTTCTTAATAGCTTAAAAGTTGAAAAATTAAATCAGCTCATGTTTACATCATTATTTTATTAGCTTCGATGCGAAGCTGAGAAGGTATTAATTTTACTATAATGTGTTTTTTATTTTTTTTTTGTGTCTGTTACCACTTTTTCTCAGTCTCACCGAACCGATTTCTTTCAATGATACGTCAAAAGATCACAAATCATATCTAGTCGAAGACATTACCCTCAAAAATTGAAAAAATTTCCCTTGTTCCCCGACAATGGGCAAAACTCCCCAAAAATTACAAATTTTAAAATTGTTAATTTTCGAAATTTTTTCAATTTTTTTTACTTAAAATTGCCATAACTTTTTTATATAGATGCATGATATTGTTTCTTTTCATTTGATATGTTTTTTTTTATAAATCTGACCCTTTATCTGCTCACGGGGGGGGGGATTTAAAATAACAACTTTTTCCACTTAAATTTTTAAAATGTTCCGGAAAGTCTGACACTTTTATCTATATCTTAAATTAAAGCTAATGTAATGCACTATTTTATTTTAAAAAATTTCGGACTTTATTTTGTCTTCACGGTGAAAATGGCTACCAAATGCTATTTTTGTGTAAAAATTCTCGATTTTGTATTTTACATTTTTTACTTTATAATGCTATAACTTTTTGAAAAATGTATGGATCAGCACAATTTTTTTATGAGAAATAATATTTTTTAATAATCCCTTTTCCATTCTTTATCTTAATCAGGATATTAATAAGGAAATAGCAGATCATGTAACTTTTGGAATAATCCACCAATTTTTTAAAAATAAACACAAATTTTGAACTTGTAAGATTCATAGAATGGGATACTGTCCAAGGATGAGTGGAGGGAGCCCCCCCCCACAAGCTTTTCATGGGAATCAAATTATGGGAAATGATACAAGGGCACAAAATTGTTGGCCCTTCCAATAAACATTTTCTGGCTACGTGCCTGCCACGAGGTTCACATAAATAATTAAATTTGTCTCAAAAAATGTAATTTATGTGAAAAAAAGTAGTTTCCTGGTAAACGTCACCCTAAGCCATATAAAGGAATTATTATTAGATATTTTTTTTTTACTTTAATTTGATGCTTTAGAGCTTAATAATGCAATAAACACAACAATATTACTATACTTTTATATAGACTTATCGAGGAACGACGTGTGACAATGTTTTGTGATTTTCATGCTCATTCCCGAAAAATGAATGTGTTCGTTTATGGATGCGAAGGAAAAGGCCGAGATGGTAGTCGTCTTCGAGAACAAATATTTCCTTTGATGTTACATAAAAATACCCCGGAAAAAGTAAGTTTCGATTTATGCTATATTTGTTATTAGATGTAATTGATACATAATTAAAGTTATAATAATATTGTGTATATTTCTTTTGATCCAATAATATTATAACATAAATACATAGTTTTATATATATATTTCTTTATTTTCATTTAACAATTATATGTAATATGAATAGTATTTTGGTTTAATTAAATCATCCATTAAGGATGTCTTATTTGGCAACAAATATATGTGAAATCAATTAAATTTAAGCTTACCAACATGCGTAATACATAAATGTAAAATTTGCGCATATTTTTTAGCACTGAATTGAAAACTCATAAAATTTCCCATCAATTGACACGCGTTTCATATTTTTGTAATTCTTTTTTCAGCTATTAAAAAAAATCCCATATTATTAAAATGGGAAAATTTTAATCACTTACCGACACAGTAAAAAATTAAGATAGGATCCTAATATTTTGGAAATAATTATATATCCCATTGAAATAGAAAAAAATACGTTCGTACGTACTACGTAATAAATAAAAAAACGCCAAATCACTGGCCAACGAGTTAATAAACTTAACTGTACGACTTAATTACACGTCCACGTACTTACTAAAAAACACGTAACTTTTGAACATTTTATTTAAATTACGTTTGTGGAGATGATGACAGTGTTTTTAATTATTTTGTTTATGTTTGAAATTTTATGTTATTATTTTTCAGTTTTCTTTTGAAGATTGTAATTTTAGTGTACAGCGTTCTAAAGAAAACACAGCTAGAGTAGTTGTTTGGCTTATGGGCGTTGAAAATAGTTACACCATGGAAGCATCGTTTTGTGGTTCTTCGTTATCTGGCACTAGGGCTCAAACACATTTTAATTACAAAGACTTTGAAGATATGGGTAAAACATTTTGCGAGACTTTGTTAGACTATTACAGCAATCATCCACACAATGTTAGTAAATGTCATATTTGATACATTTATAATTGTTTCAAGGTATTATTATCATTATAATCAGGAATCTAAACTAAATTAAGGGTTTAAATACTTAAATTACTAAAATTATTTACTTATTATCAGGGACGGTTTTGACGAAAACCCACATTTTTTGGTCTCCTTGGACACTGATAACAAAAATGAAGCTTTTTCTGTAGTCTGTTGACAAAAATGTATGAAACAAAAATTGTAACTTCATAAAATAATTGTTTTATATTTTTAGCACATGAGAAAAATAGTAGTACGTTACAATTTCATTTTGTAATGACATTGAAAATACTACAAACCTTTGATTATATGCGCTTATGTTTATATTACATTTGTAGTTCTAGTATAGCGGGTCTTGAAATAAGGTTAAGAGCAATGATGACATTCTGTCCAAAGATTGCTATGACGTCATCAGGTTCTTTCATCAATTGTGGCCTAACATTATGCCACGCACTCGATTACCATCCCGTGACGTCAAAATCCGTACAATAGTTGAGTGTTTGTCATCATGTAGTCCTTATTACTGTTGACCATACTAATCTTCGGGTGTAATGTCTTTACTAACGTTAGTCTTATTACGTGTGTCCTAGCGGTCGCTACGTTATTCCAACTTGGATCGAAAAAAAATTTCGTACTTCTCAGATGAATACGTTGTATTCCATTTGAAAGTCGTGTACAGTACAGTGAAGATTATTCAAGAAATTCCTTTGATCATTTAAAATAGAGTATATATTTACTGTAGCGATTTGACGGTATCATTTTTAATTCGAGCTATCGATTACAACTATAGGGTCAATGGTTTTGTAGTTGACACCCTCCACATGGGTTCGATACTCACCTCTTTGTATAAAAAAAATGTTTTAATAGGTATGGTAACACCTCTATATATTTGGCAACATCGAATGACCAAGTTTTGTTCCACCTGAATCGGTTCCTAAAGTATCTACCATATTGTAAAGGTTCATAAACAATTTTTTTTTAGGAATCACTGTCGCATTGGATGATCCAATGCGACAGTGTAAATATGTAAATAAATGCGATTTATAACAAAGATTGTATTTATACATAGTGTACATTGAAATTTACATTCATTTGGGCAATCTTATGACAGATTGTTGACATTATGGCAGTGCTAGAACAAAAACTAGGGCAGTATATAGACAAAATTGATTACGCCGACACCTTTTACCTTGTCTCAGGATCCGCTATATTATAACTACTTACATTTATAATGAACAAATGGTCATTGTTTCAACTAGAATGAAATTTTGGGGATTAACCAATTTCTCCATACCCTAAAAATGTTTTAATATAATAACAATTTTTTTTTTTTGTTAGGGGAGAAATTTCCCTGGCTGCACATATGCAGAGTCTACTCATAAATTATTAGTTCTAGAATTGTATTTATGAAATAAAATAAATTTTTATAATGATTAATAACTAATTTCATTCAAATCTTTAGGAGCGAATGAAACTTAAAATATGCAGTAGACTCATGGAAAAAGGATCGAATGCAGAACAACCAAAAAATGTTGAAGTATCAGATTATACAAGGTATTATTATTATTTTTTAAATATCAAATATACAAAATAGCAGTTATCATAAACAATGGTGTATTTACGGGGAAGACTTAGGAGGCCGGACACTATTGACATAAATTTGTGATGGTGCAATAGTATAGGAGTGAATCTTCCATTACTTATCTGGAAAATATTTGGATACGCTACTACTTCTCCTCAGTCAAAGGCATTGGTTAAAGAAGGGGTTAAAAAAGTTCAATTATTACAAATATTTTTTACATGTAATAAAATTATATTGGGCATATTTGGATAGATAAGGATTTATGTTTTTAAGGCCTTTTCATGAGCACACCTCTGAATGTAGTTATCTGGAGGTATATCTTATAAATTAGGAGCATTATTAATGTTTGTTTGAGTTTTGATGAAGAGGCAAAATTTTTATATTATACAGGGTGTAAATCTTTCGAACCATAGTAATGTATGGGCGAGTATCCTTTTTTTTTTTTTTTTCACGACCAGCATTATTGCGGACCGCCCTGGAACTACCGTGAAGTATTACTTCAGGGCGACCCACGCTGTCTCTAAAACTCACACCACCACGTTGTGAATCAGCCCGAAATTAATCGAGAGCTGATTCAAAACGTGGTGTGGCCTCCCCCGTTAGCCGGATCCCGAAAAGTGGGATCCGTTGCCCGGGTTGCACCGCGTGGAGGTGGGGGCAGGACTTTGCGAAGGGGGCAAAATAACTCACAAAACATAAAGAAACATATAAACACGAATACCTAAGACGCCGGCCTAAACCAGCGCCTTAGGCCCTCCTGTACCGGGCGGCGCGTCTGCCTCTGTCTCAGGCGTTCAGCTTCCTCCTTCTTTTTCAAGATGGATTCGGCGAACGCCTGGACGAGCCTCCACGCCTCCCGACTCCTCAACATCAGGTCCATCATGGACCCGACTCGGAACGTGGACCCTAGTCGAGACTCCAAAGAGTCCCGTTCCTGGGCCCACGCCTCGCACCGGAAGAGGGTGTGCAAAGCGCTATCAGTCTCTCCCGGGCGATCCGAACAGTGGTCGGCGTGGCTGCTTTACAAATACAATGTAAGTACTCATTAAAGCAGCCGTGGCTGGACATCATTTGGGTGAGACGATAAGTTATCTCACCGTGAGTACGGTCTACCCAACTGTGCAGCCGATTGGGTCCTATGAGGGACCTGGTCCAATCGCCTCTCGTCGTTTCCTCCGAGAGGCGAGTCCGCCACCGGAGCATGTTCATCCGCCTGAGCGCTAGCCGGTCCTCGGCGAGCAGGTCGGCGGGCGGCAGTGACGACAGGATGACCGCCGCCCGCCTCTGCACCCTGAGCAGGGCTTCACGGTTTTTGGACGAATACTCAAGAGTATCCGCCCAAACCGGGGACCCGTACAGGAGAACCAAGTTTACGACGCTGACTAAAAGTCTGCGCCGCATCTCCCTCGGCCTTCCCATATTGGGCATGAGTCCCGCCAGGCAATTCATGACTTTCTGGGCCCGCTGGGCCGCAAGAGTAATGTGCGGCCCGAACTTTAGACGATTGTCTATGACAAGGCCCAGATAAGTCATGGAGTCCTTAAGCGGGATCTCCACCCCAGCACGGCGAACCGTGGAGGAGTGAACTTGTACCTGCCTGTGAACAAGACCGCTTCGGTCTTGTCCAGGGCGAGGCTCAGTCCACTCCCCTCCTGCTGGATCCAGGTGGTGACTGCGCTGAGCGCGCAGTTCGCACGAGATCCAGCCTCCTCGGACGAGGCGCCTTCCGCCACCACAAGCGTGTTGTCCGCGTAGCAGACGACGCGCACGTGCGGTGGTAGCCGTTTAACTCCGTTCACACCCAAACGCTACCGCTTATTCGTCCACAAAGGCTTATTTCACGGCTATCCTGTATATCTACAGGATTAACAAGCGATTGGGCGGCTCGCTGTCCGCGACCGCTTATTCGTCAGTCCAAATTAATGGACTGCTTATTTCGCGGCTAACCTGCATATCTGCAAGCCGTTCCTCTATCCGCAACCTGAGGACACGCCCGATTCCCCGAGCTAGGGAGACTGCGCTCGTGCCAACGTTTCGTAGTCCTGTAGAGCCCGATCACGCCGAAACTGTAGCCCAGCGAAACGGGATGGGCGAGTATCCTGGTAAAGTGTAAAATCGTTTTTTTTTTCTTCCGAAATTGGAGGAATTTTGGAATAAACCCCCCCCCCACCCCTTAACTTTAGGTTCAAAGTTGGAAAAAAATTTCACATAAGTGTGACCAATCAATTTGTATTAAAATTTCATAGGGAGCCCTGTGATGTAGTTTATTTTTAGTTTAAACGATTAAATAACAAGAAAAACCGAAAAAACCTACAAATAATGTAATATTTATGCATTTTTATTGCATAAAAAAAGAAGCTATATTTTAAAGGTTATCTAATATTATGTGAAACTTAATTAGTGAGTATTCAATAGTGAACAGTATTTTCCGAACATTTAAATAAACATTAACAAGCTCAGTGATGTACCATATTCTCATTATTGATTAATTTCGGGAAAGAGTAGTGTTCCGATTACATTAAAATAATTATTTATAATTATCCTATTGTAATAAAGTTAAAAATATTCATTTCAATATTAATTGTTTTATTTTCCCGACCTAAAAAGAAAAAAAATTATAATTTTATAACAGTTTCAATGATAAAAATTATAATCGGTTTGAATAAATAATAAAAGACGAAATAAACTCGTGAAATTAAATAAATATCACATTATTTGTGGGTTTTTCGGTCTTTCTTGTTATTTAATCGATTAAACTAAAAATAAATTACATCACAGGACTCCCAGAGAAATTTTAATACAAATTGTTGGATCACACTAATGTGAAATTTTTTCCAACTTTGAACCCAAAGTTCAGGGAAGGGCTCAAAAGTTACAAAAAATCGAGTGACCACTCAATTTATATGAGAATTTTGCGGGAAATATTGTGGTATGATTTATTTTTAATTTTAGAGAAATTCGGGGGGGTTATTACAAAATTCCTCCAATTTTGGAGAAAAAAAAAAACGAGGTCCAATTTTTTACTTTACCAGGATACTTGCTCATATATTACTATGGTTCGAAAGATTAACACCCTGTATTTAATTCGCATTTGATTTTGATTGGTCAGTTATTTCAATTAAAATCAGTGTCATCTTTCCCTATGGGATAGAAGTGAATTTTCCTAAACTAGCTCAATATGGATCATCATACCGATGGATTTTATAATTATTTTTATATTAAGATATGTAATAGGAAAAAACACTCTTCTAGTATAAATAGGGTGCTCTAATGAAAAAAAAAAAATTAACAAAAGTAATTGTTTACACGACTCTGGAAAAATTATTGACGAAGTTCGGAAAATTTTTTCCGCTCATCCACAAACGTTTTAAAATGTCGACTATTTTGAAAAAACGCTCGCTGACGCAAGGGTTTTGCAACTTAAAACCTAAATTTTTAGACATCCTATCCGATGTTTAAGATATTTCTAGGTAACATAAAAAAATTATCAATCCGTTAATTTTTTTAACGTTCCGTGAGTTTTTTTTACAGATTTTCGAAACGCTATTATAATGATTCATGTTCTGATTTTCATCTAATATGGCATTGACTGAAATAATTTTCTCGTTAATAAAAAAATTCTTTGCATATTAATCAGTCATTAATATATTTTTTTTAATTTTAGAACTCAAATTTCACAAAAATTAATGTGTATTTTAATTATAGTGATGAAAGCTCATCTAGTTTATGTGAAGAATTTTTAGTTGGTGTTTCAAAAGTTAATGTTATGATGAATGAAGTTAATGATTCTTCTACACCCCCTATACCAATCGTAGTGGTTCCACCTAGCACACCAGTTAAACATCGAAAAACAAGAAGAAGAAAAAGAAGAAAATCAAAATCGATTAACTATAGTAAATAGCTATGGCTAATTAAACTAAAATGAACCAAAAGTGTGGATTTTTAAGCCCTTTTCAGAATTTGTTTGGAACACTATATTTATTTCTTCTTTTTCCAATCACAACTACTTGGGGTAGGTCACTCGTAAGTCACCTTTCTGTCTCATTGAAATTTTCTTATCCCACATAATACCAGACGCATCTTTCCACTTTACCCATCTACACTCAATCCTATATATCAAATAATTGTTAATGCCACTGTTCTTTTGTAAACATGACCATAAATATTTAAAAAAATAACAAGATTAAAAGTAACACTTCCAATTAAAACAATCAAGAATGATTGTAGGCCATTTATATAGTCCATTCCAAAAAGCAATCAGATTTTTTTACGGATAAAAATTGATAATTTGTTTTTCAGAACATTCATTTTTAATTAATTGGTTGAAATTTTCTCTGCATAAACTTTGTTGTTATGTAAAATAAGAGGAGGTAATTAGGTTTTCTTAAATGAAAATAATTTACAATAGAACAATCAATAAATTCGAGATCTTACGAGAAAAGCGTGTATTATCGAATGAGCATTTGTATAAGTGATATGAAGAAATCAAAAATTTTGAGCAGTCTTTAGTAGACAGTATTCTTGTCTCTGTCTGTAGAGTTTTTGACGTAATAGATTGAATATAATAATTATTATTAATAATAATTAATTATTAATTAATCACGAATTCTCTATAATCAGTAAAATTAAATAAGTGCAGAAATGAGACATATCCATAACATATTGCGTTTCGCCATTTAACAATTATTAAACTTAATGTTTTTTTACATTAGCGACTAAAGGATGTGTTTCATTTTCACATTCATTATTCCTCAGTGTGTAAAGAAATAAATTGTGTTATAAAATACATTTGCTATAAATTGTGCATGACCCTTTACTGAACTCATCAATTTATATACTCTACCTTTTACTAATCCTTTCTTCATGGGCTAATTTCCACACCTCAAACCTTTGGTTATCTTCCTTTATATATCCTCCTGTCAACTATTTTATCAGCAAACAACATACACCACGGTACGTCTTCTTATATTTCGTTAGTAATAAGCTAGGAAAGCACTATACCTCATCGAGCATTAAACCCATTTATAATAATTGTATATAGTGAGCAAACTTAATTTTTTTTGGAAGGCTCGTTATATATCTATTGTAATGCAGTTATAGTTAGATCTATAATGAAATTTATTATTTTTTATGTATTTTATAATTACATTATTTATCTTCGTTTTTTCTTACGTTTAATATTACTATTACCTATTTTCTACAGTGATGGATGGAATTACTAAAATAAAAATAGGAAGGTAGTTCAGAACACAATATTTAAATAATTTGAATAACCATTCAAAATAATATTTAGTAATAAACTCATATAGCAAATAAATAATAAATGATACTTTTTTAAATAAATTTAAAATTCTAGTTTTAGTATAATTTAACCTTTTGTAAAAGCTTAAATTTGAAAATTGGAAGTTGATAATTCACGATTGCCATTATATTTTAAATGAAATGAAAGAGATTATTCTGTTTCATTTATATATATATATATAATATAATATTTTCCTTTTCGTCGGGGATGCCCTGTAAATTGGTACTCAGAATAGGCCAACAGTAACTCCTGCTTATCATAAGAGACGATTAATAGGAGGTAGAGGAGGAATCAGTAACCGCTACTACTGACCATTGGCGATGTCTGAATCAGAACTAACGACAATGGAAGGATTTGGTGCAGATAGCTTAAATATCTTCTAAGAACTGACCCATCAATTGCGATACAGAAAGCCAGAGGAACCTTCTGCATTATATTTACTAAGTATAATGATTTTTGATAATGAATAATGTAGAGTTAAAAAATTCCTTTTTTTTAAACTATTATATATAAAATAAAAAAGAGAATAATTGATACATAAAATGTGGGATCCCTAAAGATATATGGAATATTAGAAAATATTAAGTTGGAAATGAAGCATTATAATATTGACTTACTAGTCATAAATGAGATAAAATGGCCTGGTCAAAGTGATTTTTGATTAATTTTTGCTAGACATGACAATAAGACGCAGGGGTAGGTATACTTATGAATAAAATCACGGGAAAAAGTGTTACCACCGTAGTTCAATACAATATTAGAATATTTGATATTAATATGGAAACAAATCTTGTTAACACCTTTATTATACAAGTATAAATGCCTATCTCAAGTCACGGAGACGACGAAATTGAGGAAATATATGAACAAATTGACAAAGTTATCAAAGGAGAAGGATAATATAAAAATAATGGGGGACTGAAATGCAGTTGCAGGAGAAACTCAAGAGCAGAGTATTACAGGTGCTTTTGGGCTTGGAAAAAGAAATCAAAGAGGCAAGAGACACTATTCGAGTTTTGTAAAAAGCAAAACTTAATAATTACAAACACTATTATCACAGTCTAAGCGCAGAAGATACACATGAACTATGCCAGAAACTGGAACCAGATATCAATTAAATTACATCCTTGTGAGAAAAAGATACCAAAATCAATTAACCCAAGCAAGTTTCCCTGGGCCATACGGATACAGTATATAGAATAGTGCAGGTCAAACAGGCCTAATAAAAAAAAATTTTTTTTACTTCAAACAGAATAAGTTTGGACATCAGGAAATCACTTATAAAAAGCTTTGTATGAAGTGTAGCTCTATATGGAGCAGAGACTTGGACAATACTGAAGACTGATAAAGCCAAAATAGGATCTTTTGAAATATGGTGTTGGAGAAGAAAGCTATAAGTTTTATGGACAGAAAAAATAAAAAATATTGAGGTTTTTAGGTGAATGAATACACAAAAATAAATATGGATTATGCTAAGATTGAGAAGAAAATCATGGATCGGACACGTAAATTATTGTGGTTATCCTCAGATAACCACAATAATAGAAGGAAAACCAGCGAAGAGGTAGGCCTAGAACTCCATTTCTGAAACAATTGATAGAAAGTATAGGAATAGGAACATACTGGGAGTTAAAGAAGGTTATAAGTGGCAGAGATGAATGAAAAGAGACATCAATAATCATTTAACCAATCTTCGGATTGGAAAAAAAAATATGTATATTACGATTTTTTTTAAAATGAATAAATTTATAATTAATGATAAATAATTTATAAGTTAATATTAGTGCATATTTTTCTGTTATTTTTGTGCATATTTTCCCATTTTTAATTGCATAATATGCACTTGTTAATTATTTAATAACTATATTACAAATATATAGCAATTATTAAAAATGAACATTGAAAAGAAGTTTTTTAAACATTTTATTTGACTAATATTAACATAATATTATTGAAAAATGGAATTAAATATCCGTTATGCTATTAAACTTTCACATGGGGGAAAAAAGTGGTCATGTACTATAAAAATTGTTCGGCTTCCACAAAAGCATTGAACAAGAAGATACTTATGATACACTTGTAAATGACAAAACCATGATGAGGTGCTATAGCTCTCTCATTTATTACTATTAAAAATATACGATTTTAGTAATACTAAGAGTGATAAGCAAAATAAAAAAGTCTTTGCCCCTACCAAGTAAAAATCTTGGCTACGTCATTGATTATATTTTTATAGAATTTTATAATTTTTAACATTGGAGTAATTTACTACTAATCTGAAAATAAAATTGTTTTTTTGAAAAATATTTTGTATTAGAATTATTCCTTATATTTTAACCATTTCATCATTCAATTAAATATTTTTTATAAATATTACTTAAAGTTGAATTTCCTAATTTTCTCTAATATTTTTTTTTATTATAAGTAAATTATTTCTGCAAAACCGCGAAACCGATCCAACAAGATCTTTGAAAATTTCTCTAAACAACTTACCTCTGACAAGAGCGTCATTTCAGATTATAATAAACTGGAGTAAGTTTTTGATCGATCAATTATTTCACAAATGTTTTAACATTCATTTTACTTTAAAGGATGGAGTTTCATAATGAAAAAAACAATTAATAAAATAAATAACATATATTTTGAAATATTATATCAAACATTGATTAAAATTAATAGAAAACCTCTTATGACACCGCTAAAAGGGAAAGATGTTAAAAACATTTGGATTTAGCAACCTCAAAAATTTTTTTTTATTCAAAAGTAGAAATTTTGTTTTTTTTTTTTCTTACTAATTTTGTCCTGCAAAAATTGCGTTTTAGAACATAGAGAATACAATATGTACTGAAAATGTAGACTAGGGCAAATGCTCAATTGTCCTCCCATAAAGGACGCCCGTGATCTCTATGAATATTTCCATCATTCTAGCAGTCTTTCAATGGAATCTCATAGCAAGCACCAGTTTAAGTTAAAGCAAAATAATAGTTTGTACTTTTAAGTGTAAACATATTAAAAATGAAGTAATTACCGGTATTAATAAATATAACATGTAATTATAACTTAATATTCAAATTAATAATAAATAGATAATAATAAAAAAATCTTCTAAACAAGTAAAAGTATTATTTTGTTACTGAGGTAACTTCTTAAAAATAAATTTCAAATTATAATATAGAAAATATAAGTCACAATATTTAATAATTAAAATCCATAGTAAATTTACTATTAAGGTGTCACAGCACATTCTGGTTGGCTAAACGGCCCAAAATTGCCATGGATATCTTTTGCTCGAACTGAAAAGTAGTAACGTTTACCTTTACTGTGAGACTGTAACAGAAAAAATTCAAATAGAAAAAAATATTATAAAAATTCAATTAAATAAAAAAATAATATAGTATAGTACATTGATATTGACATTTTATCCTTAATTTACTTTTTTTCAAAGTATTTTGTGAAAAAAAATCAATTATTACACAAATATCTATAATAAAATTAAAAACACTTTACCAACTTTAAAGTACAGGTCATTGGTAATGGTAATGCATTAACTTCCCCTATACGCATCCACTGTTTTGGTTTCTTTGCATTCTCCAATAATTCATAACTATAAATTTCATAACTAATAATTTTTGAAGTTATCTGAGAACTATCCAAATCCCATAACAAAATTACACCTATTTAGTATTAAAATAATACAATTAAACCAATGAATATATTTTAATGGAAACAACAGTATTCATTGAGATGTAAAAAGTTTTACCTGGATGTCCATAATTTTTTGTAATCCTCAGAGTGATAATAGGCATTGGTGGCAGTTGACAACATAATTTTTCTGGAGATACATGTGATGGCTACATTAAAAAACAAAACTATAATTTATTGAATTATTTAAAAAAAGATCATATTTTAAGATCAAGATAAATATTCTTTTTGTAAATACTAATATATAGAATTCCCTTCAGAAATAAACTAAAAGTGTATGAAAATTAAATTTGTGACAAACCTACTAATTCAATATAATATTTTATATAATTATTATACATTATAATTAATATTTATAATGCTATAATTTATTATTTATATTAGCTAGTGATAGATAATTTCTCTTAAGTGTTTTAAGACTATTAATGTAAATATTAAATCACAAGTAAAATGTATGAAAACATGTTCAAAATTATAATAACTGCATTTTTTAAATTAAATACTTCTAATATTGTTAAATTCAATAAAAAGAAAAGTTGGACTTATGCATATACATTTTTTTTTTTTGTATTTATTTATTTTAAACATATATAGAGACATAGTAATATATATTTTGTTACTTTATTCAACGATGAAATTATAATAGAATCATTTTTTGTTGGAGTTGATAGAGTTACTGCAACTGGTAAAGGAATAGCTAAAGGTACAGGTTTCAACTTATAATAGGTTTCTTTCACATTTTTGACATCATTATTAAGCATAGATGTAATATTTTCAGTAGTCTATAGAAAAAAACATAATTTTAATTTATCAAAGAATAAAAAATAAATCAAAAACTAAAAACTTACACAAAATGGCTCTTCTTGTGCATCTTTATTAGAACTATAACTTGAAGCTTTTTGTTCGTGTATTTGTAAATCAGTTGTAACTATATTTGTTTCTATGTTATTATTGTCTTCTAGATTGGAAGACTCAAAGTTTAAATTTTGATTTTCTAAAGTTGTACTTCTATCAGTATTCTGGATTAATTTTGGCTTTAATATATTAAATTGAGATGTTGATTCTAAGATATTTGTATGCGAGATATGAGTAAGTGGAGGAATAGATTTATTGATTAATACAGAATCATACATCTTCAGTGGCTTAATTATCACTTGTTCATGACCTACATTTTTTTCAGAGTTATTAACAATGTCCAAAGAATCACTACTATTACATAATTTTAAATTTGATAAAGGATTTTTTTCAGAAGATATATTATTTGTTGATACTTCCGCAAGAGTTTTTAAATCCTAGAAAAAAGTAAAATGAGAATTTTTATTAAGTTAAAAATGTAGTAATATTATGAAATATAATAAAGTTAGAAGAATATTTTGAACAAAATCAGTTTTTATATTATAAAATATATACAATAAAAATTTTAATTTTTTTTTTATTAATCAAAATCTAAAAGTAGCTATTATTAGCCATTTTCTTTCAAAAAATGTTGATGGGTCAAAAAGAACTTTAGGATATGTACTTTTAATTTACATGTATTTTAAATCATAGAGTGGGTATGTAGTGCGGGCAGAATATATATACACCAGTATGAACTATATCCGCACTACATAGTAATTATTCTTCCCCCCAAGTAACTTATAATTTATAGCATAAATTTTATATATATTCATAACTTCTGAAATACTTAATCATTAGTTTCACCCATGTAAAGTCTATTAATTAGTTTGTGGCATTGTTTAATAACTAATATCATCAATAAATGCAAATGATAAATCAAACTCTGATCTATATTATTTTATTAAAGTTGATTAAGTATCCTTTAATTTAACATAATATTAAATTTTCATTTTACCTTGTCAAAATTAGCCTGAATACCAACACTAGTATGAATTGTTCTTTTATAATGTTTTAATTTACTGAATCTTTTTTTGTCTTCCAAAACTTCTGTTTTGATTTCAGACAATTGAATTTGTAATTGTTTATATCTTTCCATCCAAAGTCTCTCCCGTTTTTTTAACTTTTCTATCATATATCGTTGCTTACCCAAAACACTATTATTAACTAGTTGACCAGCTACTTTTTGTGTTAAAATACTTTCAAAAATCTAAAAAAAATTATATTATTTCAAATGTCATAATATTTTAAATTATCAATAAGTAATAACTATACCTTAACACCAGATATAGGGTCCTGCATCATTTTCAATACAGAAGGCCAATTCTCTTTAGAATACTCAAAAGTGATATTATTATAAGAAATTTTAATAGAACTATTTTTTTTTTCAATTTCTTCATCACTCCCAATTATTATACATTCAATATTGTTTTCTGATGACGATACATATTTCCTGACTGGATCATTGTTGTTAAAATAGGATTGTTTGTTTTTCTCACACATACTAAAATTATTATAGGTATTGATGTGATTACTAATTATCTTTGAAACAGATGTAGTATTAGTTTTATTTATTGATAATTTCTTATTTGCTTCTAAACAATTATTCACTATAACTTCATTATTCGTTGTTTTTAAACATGACATTGATTTATAACTTTTAGTATTTGAATTATCTTCATGTATCTAAGAAATAATTAAAAAATATATTAACTTTTATAATATGTACTAAAAATGAACACAGGTTTAAAAAAAAGTATTTAATTGATTTATGACTATTATCTACACAGTACATAATATAATTATCATTAGAGCCTAGGAGTATATGAATTTATAAATTTTGCTGGAGATACTTTAAAAAGTCTCTAGTTTGAGCAACTTTGTTGTAGAATTATACAGCATGATCAGTTTATCATCTCAATTACTCTCAAATAAATATAATATTGAAAAAAAATATTTTAGTTGCATATATTTCTTGATTTATTAGCTAATAATTACTTTTTAAAATCATTTCTTACAACTTAAAGAGGTTTCAACATATTTTTTTAAATGGAAACATACATATATAACTAGCTTATAAAAATAGAAAATAATCTAATTAAGAAAATAACTATAAGTTTCTCATTTTTATATCTAGGCGGGACAAAGAGTACGGTCAGGAAATTACTAATGATAAATATAGCAGCACCTACTTCTCACCTATATTCTTTACTTTAAATTGTTAATAACTTCTGAAATATTGGTTCAAAAATTGTTAATAAATCAAGAAATATATACAATAAAAGAAATCAAAATTTTTTTTCCAATATTGTATTTATTTTGAGTAATCAAGTGGTAAATGATAAAATTTTCACTTTGTATTACCTAACAGCGTTGAAATATTTTTTATTTTGGGGTGATAAACCTATCTAAATCCTTGAAAACTATATCTTAGTAACCACACATAACAAAGTTTACAAGTCAATTATAAAAATTTGAATTGTTTGATAGTATATTTGCAATAACTAACAAAATTTATTTAAAAAAGTCCATCTTCGAAATTTTAATGAGAACCATTTTAACTTATTATATTTAATGTATATCCAAACTATCAATTTTTTAAAATTAAAAAATTTGTATTTTACAGTAAAAATCAAACTATTTTGATATACTAATCATAATATTTGACCAATAATTGAATAGCAGAGGCTGTTTGTTGTTTTTTAGGGTATTTTTGGTTAAAAAACTAAAAACGCGTTGAGCAACCAGTAAAAATATTTATTAAGAATATCAAACCGTCACAAAATGCCTATTTTAATGTATATAATAAAGTTAAAATGGTTTTAATTAAAATTTCGAAGATCAATTTTTTTTGATCCACTCTAATACCTAGTTATCATATATTTAAATACATTACTAAGAATGAAAATTAAAATAATATTAAAATTAAGATTGTCTAAACTGTCAAATATAACTCTTATACTGAATATCAAGATAATTTTTCAGAAATTGGCCTCTAAAAATAAAAATTAATAAATCAATAAAATTATAATAACTAGGGGAGATTGGGACACATTAGAATGTGGGATAGATTTAAATTTATTACATAAATCTATCTAATTTATTACTAAAATTAGATTAATGTTATCAATTCAAATCTACCCACATTCAAATATACCCTAGTCTCCTTTACAATTTGATAAAAATATACTTATATATTTTTTAAATACTATAGTGAAATGAAGTTTAAAATGTTTTTTATTATTAAGTTAGTTATAATAAAAATAAAAAATATAAATTAGTCAAATTATAACATTGTTGTACTTATATTTAAAAAGAGTCATTTGAGAAATATCAGATAATTTTAGTAATATGTTATTAAAATAATACTAACCAATTTCATAAATTTTTCATCTGATTCTGAATAATTATTTGTGCTATCATGATTTAATGTTGAGTTATTGCATAGTTTTCCATTCTGTTTATTTTTTCCATTATTAGAAGATATAACAAAATTTTTAAAATCATGTGAAATTTTCATACGTTTTGTAATTCTACAATCATCATCAGTTCTGCTACGCTTTCCATTACTGTTATAGAGAACTCCACTAATTTTGGTCATATTAAAAATGATTAACCAAAAATTTTAATAACCTAAAAATTTTAAATGTGTAAGTAAAATAATTATATACTGAAATACCTTGAAAATTACATAATACTTTTAATATTATAACATTGCCTTTATTCAAAATTACAATAAACAAGATATCTTTCTAAAATAAAATATAAAAACAATATTATACCCGACCTCATAGAAATAAAATATTTAACTTGAAACAATAAGAAAATAAATAAGACAATTTTTTTGTTATATTTTCAAATTATTATATGTCATTAGCTCATGAAAATTAGACAATTAATGAGAATTAGGTCCAGGTATTCAGTAAAAAGTATTAAAATTAACTGTGGAACAAGTAAGAATTAAATAAAATAAGAATATAGTCATTGATATAAAAACTCACAGTTCTCCGAAAAAATTACTGAAGTATCGACATTTTTAACCTGAAATCAAATTATGAGAATGGATTTTGCTATTAGGTTTCGGTAGTTGATAAATTAGTAAATAATTTGTTCAGTCTTGCAACAAATTTTACATTTTTCAAAATAAATATTTATTAACGTTTGGTTAAAAAATACTAAACTCAGCAACAGTTGTTGCTTCACGGTATAGAATGATATGAATAGATAAAATGTGATAAAAGAAAGTTATATTTCTTTATCATTAAAATTTAAAGCAGTAGAAGACACATTTTCCCTAAACGAAATCATTCATCACAAATAAAAATAGCAAGAACAATAATAATTTTAATTCTATTTTCTTTTTTTTTTTAAGTATATTTTTTCTGTATCAGATATTAATAATGTTACAATAAAAAACATTAAAATCGGGAAGCATGGTTATAAAGTAATAAGAGATGAAGCCATAGAAACGCCATTTTGCGTAGGTCAAATAAGCAAAAACAAAAATTACAGGGAATAGAGAATTTAATGGCAGAATTGTGATTTTATCTTGAAACACTTCCGCTGGTCGTGGTTATAGAACCTATATAATGTACCTGAGGTTTAGACCTAAATTAAATTCTAATATTACTATCTTTATGTCTAAACCATTTTATATTTTGATAACAACTGATAAGACTATAAGCACGTGCATGTTAATATTATTGATACTCTAGCTTTGGGAATAAACAATACCGTATATATAGAGAAATGTTGGATTTTATTTAATATTTTTAATTTTTTCAAGATTTAACATGATGACTCCTGATGGTGGTAGCAGGGCATACGCTCCCCATAGAGCTTTAGGTAAGAGTTCCAGAATTAAATAACATAGAAAAGGAAAGTTTTTAATATATTTCCAACATAAAGTAATATAGTGAAGTTACTGATAGTTTGTAGAGATATAATGATTTTTTATATTCTTTTAATTGAAAGAAGGAATAAAATGATTAAAGTATTGTAGTTCAAAGTCAATATTTATTTTTAAAATCATAATTATTTTTTATAATTCTTTTGTATTTTTACATTTACTGAAAATAAATAATTTCATTAACACATGCAATCTTAAATATATTCTCTGTTAATCTATTTTTCAGGTTATGTTAGCAATGAAGTCCCTTTAGTAACCCGCTACATTAATATGAGACGAGAAAATTTAGTTATCACATGTGTAGGTCGTGCATTTCATACTTACAGTACAGATAGATTTCAACTACTATCTGTAAGTCCTCAACATGATGATGATATACAATGCATGGCTGCAGATAACTATTTAGTATTTACAGCTTGTAAAGGTAATGATAATGTATATGCTTGGCGGCGTGGTGTTGAGTTAAAACATACATATAAAAATCATGGAGCTCCAGTACATCTTTTATTACCTTTTGCTGCCCATTTAATAACCATTAATGAAACTGGTAATGTACGAGTATGGGATATCAAGGCAGAATCGGTATATACTGAGTGGAAATTAAATATTAAAGTAACAACAATTTGTCATCCGCCAACTTATACTAATAAAATACTTTTGGGATCAGATGATGGGCGATTACAACTATGGAATATAAAGACAGCCAAATTGGTATATGAGTTTCAAGGATGGACAGGAGCAAAAGTTACTTCTTTAGTACCAGCTTCTGCAGAAGATGTTGTTGCAGTTGGTCTCCATGATGGTCGTATTATTCTTCATAATTTAAAGTATGACATTACTAAAACAGTCTATACACAAGAATGGGGAGCAATCACTGGAATTGCTTTTATAATACGTAAACAATTGATGGTTGTTGGTAGTTCAAGAGGTACTTTAGTTTCATGGAATCTCGAAGAAGGTCAGGTGGATAATTTATTAGTTAAAGCACACCATGGGCCAATATCAGGACTTCAATGTTTACCTGACGAATTACTTGTTGTCACCTCATCTATAGATAATTCTCTTAAGATGTGGCGTTTTGATAACTCTGATATTTCACTGCATAAAATACGTTCAGGTCATTGGAAGCCACCTACAAGAATTCGTTATTATGGTGTAGGTGATGAAGTATTAAGTGCCGGAGGTGATTCAACCTTACGTTCATTTTGTACTGTAACTGAAATAGCTAACCGTAGTTTTGGTAGAGCATCTTATAATAGAAAACTATCAAAAAAACGTGGGAATAAATGGTCAGATCCATTAACTATGCCACCAATATCATGGTTTACAACTGAACCTGCTAGGGACATGGACTGGGGTACTGGTGTAGTAGCTGTTCACCAGGGCACACCTGCTGCTACCATTTGGTCAGTTCAAGCAGGTTGTATGTCTGATCGATTGTTATGTCATCCTTCAAGATTTAATAAAAAAGCAGGAGTAGGAGTTAGTGCTACTTGTGCATGTCTTTCTAGATGTGGTAATTTTGCTATCATAGGTTATTCTACTGGACATGTTGATAAATATAATGTCCAATCTGGTGCTCATCGAGGTACATTTGGAGATCCAATTGCTCATAAATTTACTAGAGCTGTTTATGTTGATCCCCTCAATCAGGTTACAATTACAGGAGGAACTGAACATTTTTTAAACTTCTGGAATTTTAAAACTACCAGTAAGATTAATTTATTTATCATTTAAAATATAAATAATACCCTAAATAGATTTTCTTAGTAAAGTGAAATGAGGTAAGTGTGCTGAATATTTGGATGTGATAAAATATATGATTATTCATTAAAAAATTTTTTATCAAACCGTTATGTTATCCTCTTTTAATTGTTCAAATTTTTATGCTGTTAAATATAAAATTATTAAATAGTCTGTTGTCACTCATTTATGAAAATTTGATGCCATCTGATGCATAATTAAATATCATTTTTTCATGTGATTGATTTCAACTAAATTATTACTACACTTACTATATTCTATATTTTAATAATTAAATAATATGAAATAAAATAATTTATTTCAGTGTGATTTCACATTTGCCCCAGTACATTTGTGTAACGAGATTAGTGTAATTGACTAGTTATGTAGACCTTATCTATTAAAAATATGGTAACTTAAATTATTTGAAAATTCATTCTTTATTTTTGTTTAATAACCTAATCAATTATAAATGTCAATAAACAAGTTAAACATAAAATTTGAATAATTGACATTGACATTTAAACAAAAGTATAACTTAAATTATTATCTAATTTATTATATTTATGTCAAAGAAATTATTTAATAACATAGTTCAATTTTCAGAATCGCTTCTGTCCCTATTTGGATATGTGTTGCCTTCAATTTTTTTTACTTTAATAAGCACTGGAAAGTTGAATTTTAATTCATTTAAACTCTTTAGTATAAATTCAGGTACTCTGATAGTTTTTATATTATATATGACAATTATTTAACAGAATAATAATATACAAATCATCTTATGACCATTTAAGTGAAAAAAAAAAGCATACACACTTATCTCACTTCACTTTAATAATAATTTAAACTTATAAAAATTAATACAGTAATTTATGAATTTGACAAAAAATTATTTCAATACAAAACAGGTGAAATTTATTTTGTAGCATAATAAATATTATGGTTAACTTCTAGTTCCAAAAGACCCTTTTATCATAAACAAGTAACCAAAAATTTTTATATTAATTTGTTTTTACTAAACATTTTTACAGTTAAATTGAGATGTTAAATCTTTATAATATACAAAAATTCTTATACTTTTACAAAGAAGCACTTTCAAATATCAATGTAAATCATTATTACTAAGTATTATTTTTTTAATGAACTTTGTGTACTAAGTATTCAAGTTATTTGAGACTTAACTGTCAACTCTAATAGCTTTTGATCCAATTATCATTTTCATATAATTTTTTTTAAATAATTACTGCATATTTATACTACATTTTATGCATACTTTATATTATATGTCTTATTTATTCAAAAGTCATTTATTAGTGCTTTTCCTACAAACAATTTTGGTTGGGTCGATAATAATTTTAGGAAAAGTATTTATTAAGTTACAAGTATTTTAATACATAGAATGGGCTGTAACATATAAAAAAGATATTATACTCAAAAATTGAAAAAATTTCCCTTGTTCCCCGTAAATGGGAAAACTAAAACCAATAAAGGAAAAGTCTACTAAATAAATTTTAGGAAACCTCTCCAAAAACTTAATTTATGAAAACTAAATTAAATGCGGCGATTCCAAATATTAATGTATTTTTATTAAACATATTATTACTTAAAACCTAGATGAGTTAATTTCTAATTCAGAGTTATGTTTCAAAATTTAATTAATTTATAGAGTTGATAGTTCGATTTTAACCAGCTCTTTTAAGCGAGGTGGTTATGTTTAAATTTTTGCTAGAAATACATTAATAGTTCATTTATAATGTTGCTATAAATAGTGTTTAGCATGTTTTTATTTTTGTAAATAATAATTCTAAAAAGATTATTATTATTATTTGAATTTATGTTCCATCTAATTCTATAATCTAATGTCTATAAAAATTATTTTGATGCTGCAAATTCATTATATTTATTTTTACCAATTGTATATACTCAGATGCATAGCTCATTTTGATTGGTGATTTTAATCTGCCGTCACTAAATTGGCCTAACTATAATTTAATTGACTTAGTTAATAAATATTGATTGATTTTTTACAAACATAATTTACCATTTTAACTTAAGTCAATATAATTTCATTAATTATCAGAACAAAATAATTATAGATTTAATTTTATTACATTTCTGTGTAAATTTTACACGAGACCATAATTAAAAATAAAAGACTCTTTGATAGTTTACCTTTGACCCTTTACCTGCTTACAGGGGTCGATTCAAAATAGTAACTCTTGCATAAAACCTAAACTTTTGAAAATATCTGTAAATATCACGAGCTTCAGGTATATGTTAAATTAAAGATTGTGTTATATACTATAAATTAAAAATAGAAAAGTTTTAAGTGTCAATTATAAATATTTTTATGGAAAATGTTTGTAGCTTTTAATATCAATCTAATAAGTATATTGAAAGAAAAGGACTGCTCTTAAAAATATTTTTTAGCTTCTATTGCCTTATGATAAATTATAATTTGAATTTTATTAGTGAAATAATAATTTACTAAAAAAAGTCAAAATAATCAAATTATAAAAGTTAACTTTCTTTTTTTAACCATAATTAAAATTATGATTCATATTTGCTATTGAGTTATTCAAATGTATAACACTTAAGATTTTATATAATTTCTCCGTAAAAATTATAATACAAAATATTGAATATCAATATTTCATAGTAAATTAAATTTCTTTAATATGTATTATAATTATAAATTTTAAAATTAGTAATCAAGGATATAATTAAAGAAATATGAGTTGATGTTGATTTGTAATAATCCAACAATTCCTTCTAAAAATTAGAAAATTACATTATCTACAGATTTACATCAAAACTTATTTTTATAGTGATTTTAATCACTGTCAAATATTAACTTTACTTGTCACAAATATGTTTCAAACTCACTGTACTAGATTTTTTTTTATAAAACGCCATTTGTACTATCATACAAATTATTCTAATATATTTTTGATATAATTAATAGAATGAAACGTATTATATTTTATATGTATTCATTCAAATATTATTTTTTAGCTGAATTATTATTGTTTTTATTATATTTTACAGAATTAATATCTAAAATGAATTTGGATGATGCTGTCTCATTTTTTGTTTGGCCTGACTCAGATACTTCATTTTTGGCTATAGCTTTAGATAATTATATAGTTTGCTTAATTGATATTGATCAGCGAACAATTATCAGAAAATTTTCAGCACATCGTGGTCCTATAACAGATATTGCATTTAGTCCTGATTCACGATGGTTAGTTACTGCAGCTATGGATTCAACAATCCGTACTTGGGACATTCCAGCAATGTGTACTATTGATATACTTAAGGTAAATTATCAATTATAAAACATTTTATTATACTAAAACATAGCTTATTTATAGGTAAATACACCATGTGTGTCATTGACATTTTCACCATCTGGAACATATTTGGCTACAGCTCATGTTGGTTATCTCGGTATTCATTTGTGGACAGTTCGATCAGCATATTCACATGTCAGTTTACGACCTATTAATGAAGATGAAGATGTTGTTACTGTTCCACTTCCATTAACTGGAGGTGGTGAAAATTCTATAACTGAAAATCAAATTAATAAATATGAAAATAATGAGTGTAAAATTAAACAACTAGAGTCTGGTTTAATTACTACTAGTGGTTTAGCAGATTCACGTTGGATACCATTATTAGATTTAGATGCTATTAAAAAGCGGAACAAACCAAAAATGCCTGCAAAAAAACCTGAAGCTGCTCCATTCTTCTTACCTACTATACAATCATTAAATGACCAACAACTTCATTTTGACTTAAATAAATCTTTACCTCATAAAGAAAATTCTAAAAGTGTTTTGAATAGAATTGAGTTATTGTCACATACAGTATTTGCTAATGATTTGCTCAAAGCTCAAACATTAGAACAGAATGTTACATTATTTACCACTCTAAAAAATATGGGACCATCAGCTGTAAACTATGAAATACGTTCTCTAAATCCAGAGGCTGGTGGATCTAGTCAATTGCTAAATGCATTTTTAACTTTATTGGACATTATTACTACACATTTTGAAAGTGATGATTTTGAATTGGCTCAATCGTATCTGGGAGTATTTATTAAGCATAATGGTAGGGCAGTAGCACAATTAAAAAATGAAGATATGTTAAATTTACTTGAGAGGATAGTTAACAAAGAAAGTGTTGCTTGGAGTAGACTTAGCAATGATATCAACTATAGCTTAGCTGTGCTAGAATATATGAAAAATAACTAAATTGTATATATGAAATATAATAACAAATAAAATGAAATTTATTATTAATAATCAATTTATTAAATAATAACTTATAAATTATTAAGTAAAAATTAATATGTAACATCAAATTTATAGAAATATTATTTTTTAAAGATTTTAAATAATCTATTAAAATTGGTCGGTTTTAAAGTTTTTGACAATGTTAAAAAGAACCTGTATCTTCAAATTGTATCAATTCAAAGTAGTTATTGAAATTACTATAATTTTAAGAAATGAAAAACGTTTTGTTGATTTTTCATCTATAATTAGCTTTTAGGACAAAAATTGCATTATTACCGTTAAATATGACAAATTTTTTTGCTATAATTTAAAAAAAAAAATGCACATTTCAATAAAAATTTTATTAATAATACTTCAAATACAATCCTTCTTTTAATAAACATTTTATGCCAATCTATTCAAAACTATAACTTTTATGGTGGGAATGGCAAGGGGATTGTACACCTCAACTAACATAACTTTATCAAGAGGATTTACCAAATACTAAAGATATCCTGAGTACCCGACTTTTCTTTTCAGATTGAGGACCTTAGTCTAAATTTTCAGGTAACTTAGGTATTTACCTCAGTTTGAGGTAAATGCCTAAGTTGCCACTTCCCAAAAAATAATGCAATTGGTTAAATAGATTGGCAACTCAGCTGAATTTTACGCTTTGCTCAATGTGAAAGTATTGATTGAAATAATAGTTGTATTGTTATAGAAGTAAGAATATTAAATTAAAAATGATTTTTTTATTTCATAAACTTATAAAGGTATAAAATATGCCTTAAAAGATTTCTTCGTTTATAATTTTATTAAACATAACAATAAAGTATACATAAATAATTTTGTGATTTCCAGACAAAATAATTGTAGCATTTCTATTTCATTAATAATTATAGATATAATAATGACAAATCACTGAACTAGAATTATAAACTATGATTATTAAATATTTTTTTATATGATATAGTAATTATTTAAGGTAAAATACAAATACTGAGTAAAAATCTATGAAATAATGGGTTGATCAAAACTTTGCTATAGTGTATAATTATAGATAAGACATTATAAATTATAAAAAATAAATTATAATTTATAATCATAGACAAGTATACTAATTATAATTGTACCCTAGTCTAGAATAATGTGAAATGAAGCTCTTTATATAATATTTCATCTAAGGTCTGGACTAAGAATTATCTAGCAGTGTCGGATACGTTTATTCATATGGTAAGTAAACCGGTACTTACCGCTGAGTATAAGTGACAAGGATTTGATAACGATGCAGAAGCGTTAAAAAATAATATGATCTCTTTGACGTTACATTATTTATATACAACATCACGTCCAAAATAAGTTACTTCAAGTAACAAAGTTTTGATAACAATTCAGTAAATATAACGGAGTCACTTAATTTTTAAAAATCACTTTCCTGAAAATTCACTTTTAAGGTAATAGTTTATTAATACTTTATGTAACTTAAATTACTTAGTTTTTACATATTTGTAAACAATTATTTGTTTTTCCAGGTTTAACTATGATTGGAAATGAAAACATGGCAGTTGACTCCAATTATAAATCGGATGCTTTAATATTTCAATCATACAAACTAAATAAAAGAGATGTCGAATTTGAACAAGATATATTGAGAAATCCAAATTCTGTTAAATGTTGGATGAGATATATAGATAATTACAAGTTTGGACCATATAATAAAGTATGTGTTCTATATGAACGTTCTCTTAAACAGCTTCCTGGAAGCTATAAACTTTGGCACAATTATTTAAAAATACGTCGTAAGTATGCAAAAAAAGCAGAAAATCCTGATTATGAAGAAATTAACAATGTATATGAACGATCGTTAGTTTACATGAATAAAATGCCACGCATTTGGATTGAATTTTGCACATTTATGCTAAAACAACCCAAACTTACAGTAGCTCGGCGATTGTTTGATCGAGCACTTAGAGCTTTACCAATAACTCAGCATGTTCGCATTTGGCCATTATATTTAAATTTTATTAAAAGAAATCATGATCCTGAAGTTGCTGTTAAAATATATAGAAGATACTTAAAGCTATTTCCAGAAGATGCAGAAGATTACATTGAATATCTTACAACTTCTGGTAGATTAGATGAAGCTGCTGTTCGTTTATCTGAAATAGTAAACAATGATACATTTATATCAAAACATGGTAAATCAAAACATCAACTTTGGAATGAATTATGTAATCTTATATCAAAAAATCCATTAGAAATTAAGTCTTTAAATGTTGATGCAATTATACGTAGTGGACTTAGGCGTTATACTGATCAATTAGGTCATTTATGGAATTCTTTAGCAGATTACTACATTCGAAGTGGTTTATTTGAACGTGCTAGAGATATATATGAAGAAGCCATTCAAACCGTCACTACTGTTCGTGATTTCACTCAAGTTTATGATGCATATGCACAATTTGAAGAGTTAAGTTTGCAAAAAAGGATGGAATCTGTACATGAAAATAGTTCTGAAAAAGATGATTCTGAGATTGATTTGCGAATGGCAAGATTAGAAAATTTAATTGAAAGAAGATTATTATTGTTAAATTCAGTTTTACTGAGACAAAACCCACACAATGTTAAAGAGTGGCTTAAACGTGTTCAGTTATATGAAGGTAATGATGTACAAGTTATTAACACATTTACAGAAGCTGTTGAAACAATTGATCCTCAAAAAGCTGTTGGACGTTTACATACTCTTTGGGTAGAGTTTGCTAAATTCTATGAAAAAGCTAATCAATTAGAAGAAGCAAGGTTAGTCTTTAAAAAGGCTGTCATGGTTCATTATGTGAAAGTTGAACACTTAGCTAGTGTTTGGTGTGAATGGGTTGAAATGGAATTAAGACATGATAACTTTAATGAAGCTATGAAATTAATGAGGCAAGCAACTGCTATGCCATCAAGAAAAGTTGCTTATCATGATGATACTGAAACAGTACAAATACGACTACACAAATCTCTGAAGTTATGGTCATTATATTTAGATATGGAAGAAAGTTTTGGAACTGTCAAATCTGCAATGGCTTGCTATGATCGTGTTATAGACTTACGAATTGCTACACCTCAGACTATTATTAACTATGGGTTATTTTTAGAAGAAAATAATTATTTTGAAGAAATGTTTAAAGCATATGAAAAAGGCGTAGCTTTATTTAAATGGCCAAATGTTTTTGATATATGGAATACATATTTAACTAAATTTTTGGATCGTTATGGTGGGAACAAATTGGAAAGAGCCCGTGATTTGTTTGAAGAGTGTTTAGAAGGATGTCCTCCACAATTCGCTAAGTGCATTTATTTATTGTATGCTAAACTTGAAGAAAAACATGGTTTAGGTAGACGAGCAATGGCTGTTTATGAAAGAGCAACTGAAGCTGTTTTACCAGAAGAGAAATTTGAAATGTTTAATATATACATTAAAAAAGCTGCAGAAATATCTGGTATTCCTAAAACTAGAGAGATATATATGAAAGCTTTAGAAGTATTGAATAATAATAATGCCAGAACCATGTATCTTAGATTTGCTGAGTTAGAAACGAAATTAGGTGAAATTGATCGTGCTAGAGCTATATATTCTCATTGCAGTCAAATTTGTGATCCTAGAATAACTGAAGAGTTTTGGCAAACATGGACCTCTTTTGAAGTAGCTCATGGTAATGAAGATACACTTCGTGAGATGCTTAGAATAAAGAGAAGTGTTCAAGCCATGTACAACATTCAAGTAAACATGATGTCTGCTCAAATGATGTCAGCAATAAATGTTGAACCAGAAAAGAGTGGAATGAAATTATTAGAAGAAAAAACGATGGAAGATAAAGCCAAGACACTGGAACCTATTAAGTTTGTTCTTGGTAGTGAGCAAGATCGCCTTCCAAAAACAGCTGTACAAAATCCCGATGAGATTGAATTTAGTGATGACGATTTAATGACTAATGAAGATAATGATGAGGATTTACCATCAAAAAAAGAAGTACCTCAAGAACTTTTTGGTAATCTTGGAGCATTCACTGAATAATTCTAGATAACTGTTTGAAATTTTTTTTGTAAATTTTTGTTGTAAATTTTTTTTTTAATAATTAGAGAAAAGTATCAGATTTTAAAATACATACAATAATTTATACACCATTTCTTGTTTTTCTCAAAAAAAAAAATTACCTTTTTAAATTTTACAGTGATGGCTGTAGGTGAAATATGGTGTTGAAATACTGGTCTAAAAGTTAGTATCAACCAGTCTTTTTCTTAATTAGATCATTTTCTATTTTATAAACTAGTTAAATATGTATATGTTTCTATTTAAAAGCATAAAGTTGACACCCTTATAATGTATAAGGAATGAACATTAAAAATATTTTATGATTGATAAATTGAGTAAAATATATACCTATAAGAGACCAAATAAAAAATTACCCAATATTATTTTTATTTTTTGATTAATGAAGTTTTTCACGATAAATTAATCACTGTATATCGTCAACTCCCATTATATGTGCATAAGAAATAATTTTAAATTAACTTAAAGCAGGACACACATTTATATCGTCTGATTATGTATCTAATCATAGAATGAAATTCTCAAAAAATATTAACGTAAACGTATAACTTCGAAGATTTTATTATTACATTAGGAACGGTTAATAAAGGAAACGTCCACATAAAAAAATGAGTTATTTTAATTATTTTAAATGGAATGATTATAAGGCAATACAGAAACTATTAATCTACAAATAGAATTTTACTAAGAGATATTGTATCTATAAAATCTGAACTGGGAAAATATGTGTTATTTACTGAAAGTCAGTTTAATGATGAAAAAACACGTTAGTTTTTGTTCAAAAAATGTATATGAAGGAAAAGAGAATGCCTCTGGCACCTTTGCATACAGAAAATTGTCAAATACCAAGAAAAAAACGTGAAGAAATTTTTTTAATTTAAATAAAACTCATCCAAAAAATAGGAAAGAATCAAGGGAAATCATAATAACATATAGTTAATTAAATTAATATTAAAATGTGATAATAAAATTAAATAATTTATTTTGATTTCAAGATAAGGATAGAGTATAAATTATAATTAGTAATTATTGTGATGATTTTTCAAATTTTTTTATTAATTATAACCAGTGGCGTATTTAGAGGAGCGCACAGGGGCATGTGCCCCCCCCCCATTGACTGAGTCGTGTAAATATATGAAAAAGTTATTTTTTGGTTATCGATAATAACATGGGTTTATGAAATGTTAACCAACATAGTTTTCTTGATAAATGCAAGAGGCCAAAGAGTAAAAGAGTTCTGCAGAGAAAATGGGATGGTTATAATGAACATCAGATTTCAAAACCCCAAGAGAAGAATATTTACATGGAAAATTCCAGGCGATATTGCCCGCTACCAAATAGATTATAAACTGGTGAAAAATCGCTTTAAGAACCAAGTTAATTTCTGTAAAGCATACCCAAGTGCTGATTGTGTCAGTGATTACAATCTAGTAATGGTGAAATGCGAACTCAGAAATAAGAAACTACAAAGACCAAAAGTACAGCAATACAAATATAGAGTCAGATTACTTAAGAGAGCAGAGGTTGTAGAATAATATAGACACCACATGGATTGCGAATACCAAAAAAGAAAAGTAGATGATCCTTTGAATAAAAAATGGTAGAATACAAAATCAGCTTTAAAAAAAACGGCGAATACTGTGATGATAAAAAAAAAAGAAAGAACCAAGAAGAGCATGGATTGACAAGGAAATAGTAAAACATATAGATGAAAGATGAAAATATAAAAACAATAATACGAGAGTAGGACAACAAAAATATCGCCAACTAAGGAACCAGGTTAATCATCGAGAAGTCAGAAAAGCCAATGAAAAATGGTTGGAACAACAGTGTGGCGAAATTGATGAACTATTCTAAGTTAACAAAATAGACTATGCGTAACGTAAAATCCAACAATTTGTGGTGAAGAGAAAACGAAATTGCACTAATATCACAGATAAAAATGGCCAATTATTAGTTGATGATGAGAACCTAATAAAACGATGGAAAGAGTATATTGAAGAGCTTTATGAGGGAGAAAAACTGGAGGAGATTACAATAAATGAGGAAGAAACAAGGCTACCCATTGTAAGATCAGAATTTTAGCTAGCGCTTTATGACTTGAAACAAAATAAAGCGCCTGGGATTGATAAAATAACAGCAAAATTATTGCAAAGTGCTATTACGAAGATAAATGACGCTTTATACCAACTAACTCTAGATATATATGGAAAAGGAGATGTGCCGATTAATTACTGTAAAAACATAATTGTAACTATACCAAATAAAAGCGGGGTAAATACTTGTGAACAGTTTAGAACACTGAGTCAACTGACACATGTATCAAAAATCCTAACAAAAATAATTAATCGAAGAATAGAAGGAAAATTGGTGCAGTACTTAAAAATGATCAATATAGTATTAGAATACAAAGAAGTACACAAGAAATAATTTTAGGACGGCGAGTGCTAATTGAAAAACAGATCGATAGAAATAAAGTTACATACTTGGCCTTTATAGATCTGGAAAGGGCCTTCGACATAGTAAATTGAAATAATATGCTATTCACACTACGAGAAATAGATGTTAAACAACAAGATCTAATAATCATCCACATTCTTTACAAGAATCAGACAACTTACATTAAAAAGGGAGAAATCGCAACTAACGCTCAAATAAAAAAAGAAGTCCGACAAAGGTGGACGTTATCACCATCACTTTTTAACTGCTACATAAAAAAAGTTATAAATATAGTGAAAGCAAAGCTAACAAGACTAAATATTGGAATCAAAATTGGTGGAGAAATTGTTTCAACAATTTGGTAATATATTACAATGTGGTAATAGAAGAGAGTGAAGGTGACATACAGCTGCAAATGAAGAAATACTCAGAACATCAGAAATAGTGTAACAACGAAGATCTTAGTCTGCGCCAGAGACCCGAAAGTAAAAGCTGTTGTATACATAGATAGTTAAAAACTGGAGCAAGTAGAGGAAATGGTATACTTAGGAAACAAAATCACATCTGATGCTAAAATCGTCCGCGAGCTAAAGGAATGCATATCATTAGCAAAAACTACCTATAGTAAAAAACATAAATTGGTCACTTAAAAAAAGCTACATCTCAATATTAAGAAGAGACTTATAAAAAAATATATGTATGGAGTGTTGCAACATATGGAAAATTTGGGTTATAAATGATACCGAAAAGAAAAAACTAGAAGCCCACGGATGTGGTGTGAAGGCATATGGAAAGGATAAGTTGGATAGAGCGGAAAACAAATGAAGTACTTAGAGCTGTGGGAAAAAATCGCACACTCATAAATGCGATTAGAGCAAGACGCTGGAAAATATTGGACATGCCTTGAGACACTTAGAGGAGTTGCATAATATAATATTAGAGGGTATAATAGTAGGAAAAAAAACTACAGGACGTCTCCGAAATTCTTATATAGGACAAATTAAATGTGATGCAAAAATCAAGAACTTCAAGGAACTTAAATAAAAGGCGAGCAACCGGTTAGAATAGAGAATTGGAGTAGTAAACCAATCTTCGGGTTTATAAAAAAAAAAATAATAATTGTCTTGTGGAGCAAAATTTGAAGCCCGTACAGTTGTCCCGTTAATGTTATCACCTATTTTTGAAGTGTTTATTACGTAGAGATACAAAATGTATAAAATTAAGTATTTCTATTAATAAAAATAGATTCAAAACAAATAACAGATTAAAAAAAAAAAAATCTAAAATATGTGTTAACAGAAGTTATCAGCAAAAAAAAAGCCGTTTTATGGTACCTTATTCGTGAACATTTTTTCCACCCCCCATTATATACGCCACTGATCATAACTAATAATTAATTTAAATAATATACGGCGTTATTTTCTTAATCATTAGTGATCAATACACTTTACATGCTTAAAAATATGTAAATGGAATTACGGCATTTTTTTGAGCTACGCAATTTTTAATATTCTCTCTAATATCAGCCTCAAGTTACTTTGTTAAGGAAACTTCAAATATAATTTATTATTTATTAACTAGATGAATCTTGCTCAAACATATAATTAAGCGTGATTTAAATAAAATATTTTAGAACAAATTAAAAATAAACTATACAGTTAGAGTAAACTACAGTACTGGTTTTATGAAGCAAATTAAGTACAATAAAAAATGTATTTTATCATATTTTTCCGAAATACATCATTTTAAATAATTAATAGCATTCTTTAAACATACACAGATAAGATAAAACTTATCTTACTTGTGATTATAGTACTCAACATAGTGCACTGCATAGTATTTTCTTACCTGTGGTGTTATATATTTCTCAATGAATATATTACCGACTGAAGAATCTGTTTTTATAAGTATTGAAGATAATGAATTTCAATAAAATTTTCTTTTCAGTTCCAAAGACTCTTAAAAGTGTTAATCATAGTGCAAGTTACAGAAATTTAAGTAGTTATAAAAATCTAGCTATGAGATTTGTTCAATTTAAAGATGGATGTAAACGCGGATTAGGTATTCAATTAGACATTGATGGGCCTGTAGTGAATTTAAATGAAGCAGATTCTTCAATTCCTTTTGATATGGTCTCCTTTTTAAAGAGTGATTATTCTTTAAAAAATGTTCAAAAGTAAAAACCAAAAATATTTTATTTTAAACTATATCAGTGACGTATTTTGAGAAGGACTGAAGCATTAGCCATATTATGTTGATATTTAATTCTGTACCTCAGAAATACACTAATGTAAGTCATGTTTACATTCTGGAAAATTTTGTCAATGTTCTAGAAAACATAAAAGCAGAAAAATGTAACTTACTTTAATTTCTTCAGAAATTGAAATAAAAAATTGCATGCTAATATTGTTGGTCTATAAAAAAAAACTACAGTTTTAATGGTTAACTATTATTAGTTTATTTTTTATGTGAATTATGTTGATTAATTACGTTTGTGTGGTGCAAACTTAGGTTAGGACTTAAACTCCTTTAAAATACGTAAGGGGTCATAGTAATAATTTCTAATATAGATCAATGTAAAATTTTTGCAAACAAAAATGTAATAACCTAACAATCATAATTTTTGGACTTACGTTAGTCTATTTCTAAGGTATACTAATATTTCTAGAGTGTTTTTTGGTTCGTAATCAGCTACTGTTTTTAATGTAGCTAGTCAATTGAAAAAAGTTGTACCAATCCTTTATGAATTTACAAATATGCTACTGAGTTAGATTCTCATTAAAAAAGATGCAGGAGTTAGGGCAGCTCTGTTTTTTTAGGAAAAATATAGATCTACAAAATTTATATAATATAAATTTTTTTTTTAATAAAAAAACGATAGTCTCCAATTCAACTTTAAATACTATAATAATAGCAGTTGTAATGGAGAAGTTTTTTTAGGCTCTTAAAAATAAACATTTTTTCTTTAATTACTATTTTGTTTCAAAAAAACCCACATTTTTTGTCCTAAAAAATAAATAACAAAATGATACTATTGATAACATGACATTTCTACTAAATAATGTACATTAGTTAAATATTCAATTCAAATAGGTTACTATTTGCAATATTAGCTTATAATGATTAAATATAATTTAATTATATCTTGATTTGAATTATTGTTTCAAGAATATTAAATGAAAAGAAGGTGGTATTAGAATTAAGCCAAATAGAACTTTTACCTTGTATAACTGGACCTGATAAAGTAATTATCTATTTTTTTAAGGAATGTAGGAAGTGTTATAGTAAATATTTATATAAATGTTACAGGTTGTCTGTGTTGGATTAAATTATAAAGGACACTGTGATGAACAAAATAAACCATATCCTAAAGAACCATTTTTTTTTTCTAAATTCCCAAGTACAATAATTGGTCCTTATGATTCAGTAAAACACTCATCAATAAGCAAAGTAAAAATATTTATATTTTTGTTTGTTAAAAATGATTTGTAGTTTTAAAATTCTTTAGGCTCTTGATTGGGAAGTTGAAATGGCAGTAGTTATTGGAAAAAAGTGTAGAAAAATTGATGTTAGTAAAGCCTACGAATATGTTTTCGGTTATACAGTAGCTCAAGATATATCTGCAAGAGATTGGCAAAAAACAAGGAATAATGGACAGTGGTTAATTGGTATAATCATTACTAATTTAGAAAATGTCATAATAATGTTGTAATAATTATTAATAAAAAGTCATTAATAGCTAAAAGTATGGATACCTTTTGTCCATTGGGATCAGCTTTAGTGCATAAAAGTGAAATTAATGATCCACACACATTATCAATTAATTGTTCTATTAATGGCGTATTGAAGCAAAATGGATCAACGGGTGATTTAATTCATAGAGTCGATGCACTAGTTTCATTTTTATCAAAGTTAGTTAAATTAAATTATAATATTTTGCAAATATGTGTACTCCTAAATTCCATAAGTTGTAGTTGAAAAATATCTATCATATTTATCTTACTTGGCATAAATGTATTTTACCACCCCATTGAGATTTTTTGAAATATTTGTTTTTAATCAATTTAGTTTTCCATTCTGATTAAGAATATATAAAAAAAAATTTGTCGACGAAGCATAACTTATAACTTTCAAAATGTTCTTCTGTTCTTCTTGATTTGTTATGTTTGGCTATTATTTTTTAATTTTCTTTAATTCACTTGTATGAGTAATCTTTAGTGATGTAGTCACTGTTTTTTATTAAATTTATTCGTTTCCAAAATTAAAAAATAGTATGGTTACTTAAATTGGTAATTTCCCTTTGCCCCACACATTTAAAATTATAATCAAGTTGGTAACACACATCTATGCAACGCCATAAATATCAGGTTTGTCTTAATTAAAGATATAAATATTTGCACTTTTTATTATATTTTCAAACACTTTTGAAAAAAGCAATGAAAAACACCCATTATAAAAAAAAAATTTGAAAAATCTCGATGGGGTGATAAAAATGCATTTATTCCTTTTATTCATACATAATTTTATAACAGGAGTGGAAAACTAGATTATTATTATCCATCAATACTAATAGTTTTGAAAATATTATCTATTTTTAAATATAATTATTTGGAGAAATTGGGATGTCTTAGGGAAGGATAAGTCTCCCTACAATACATTACCAAATATGGTTTTTAGTTTATGACCTTTTTTTTGGTCATTTACATGTGTCTTCTCAAAAATTTAGATTTTAATTTTTTTTAATTTTGAGTTCAATAAAGTTTATTAAAATATTGTTCCATCTTTGGTCTCTATTATAATTAGCTTATAATTGGTTATTAACAACAAATAATTATTATTATGTTTAAATATTCATGTATTAAGTGTATTTATATATAGATACTAAATTAACTATACATTAAATACTAAATGTACTTTAGTTATTATTCAAATTTTTACAAATTAAATGTATGTTTAGCATTTTACATATTTAAAAAATATTTTTCAGTCTGATTACTCTTCTACCTGGTGATGTGATTTTAACTGGCACACCAAGTGGAGTTGGTGTATTCAGGGAACCGAAAGAATTTTTAAAGGTATACTTATATTTTATTGTAATTTAACTTTAAGTTGAAAACCATAGATTACTCCATGGTTCTTAACTGTTATATTAGAACTGTTGCTCTATGATATTTAATTAGTTTTTTTTTAGCTTCAATGCGAAGTTGAGAAGGTATTAATTTTACCATGATGTGTTTTTTTTTTTTTTATCTCTGTTGCCACTTTTTCTCAGCTCTCACTGGACCGATTTCTTTCAACAATACGTCAAAAGATCATAAATCGTATCTAGTTGAAGACATTACCCTTAAAAATTGAAAAATTTTCCCTCGTTCCCCGCAAATGGGGGAAATATCCAAAAAAATTACAAATTTAAAAATCGGTAAATTTTGTCATTTTTTTCACTTTTTTTTCTTAAAACTTCCACAACTTTTTCAAAAATAAACAAATCAACATAATTTTCTTTTATACTAAAATCTTAGATATTTCCCTTTCATTTGATATCATTTTTTTGAAAATCTAACACTTATTCTGCTCACAGGGGGGATTTAAAATTGCAACTTTTTTACAAAAACTAACTTTTTCAACCTAATTTTTGAAAATGTTCCGGAAATACTGCGTCCTTTAAACATATATCAAATTAAAGCTTATTTTATGTACTATAAAATGAAAAAAATTTGTCCCGACGACCTATCTTTTATGCGCAAATGGCTACCGTATTCAAAAATATGCTATTTTTCTATTAAAATTCTAGGTTTTGTATTTTATTTTATTTTAAAATATCTTATTAGGAGAATACATGGTGAAAATAGCTACCGTATTTAAAAATATGCTATTATTGTGTTAAAATTCTTGGTTTTGTATTTTATTTTATTATAAGGGGATTACACTGATTTTCATAAATATTATATCAATCTAAATGACATAGTATTAATAGGTAAACATATTTAAATTTTTTGTCTCTTTGAAGTCGAGAAAAATAACTTTAATATTTGAACTAGCTAAATTTCCATTTTTATTAAGTGACGAATGAGACGTATGGTTTTTGAGACGGTAACACTTGGATTTTTCATGACTGTGGCATTGAATTTTTTTTTAATTTTCTTTGAGTTAAAAAAAAATGTTTAACTCATTTGATTTTTATCTCATTTTTTTTTTTTTGTTTTCAACCGTTAGGTTGGTTAATACCAATTGGATTGATATATCCTGGGGAAATTTAAATGCAGTGGTTTCCCGTTGCCTTCTGCACTGGGAACATGGTGCTTTTTCGCCACCGTAGAAGCGCATGTATGGTCACCCATCCGTTCACCTACTGCGGTAGGCGCGTCTTAACACCAGAGTTTTGTCAACATCTAGTGTGACCACCGCGCCACCTTTTATATCATATAGATTCAATAACTTCAATAAATATCAAGGATTCCATTACTGTAGTCTCCTCTCGTGAGAAGAAATTCATATTAATATTATTTTACTATGTGGTTTTTTTTTTTTGTAACTATCATTTATTTTCTCAGCTCTCATTTTTTGACTTTTTTGACAAATTTTTTTTTTTAAATTAAACACTATCTACAGATTTGCATCAAAGCGTTTTTTATGATAGTCATTTTAATCACTGTCAGATATCATCTATACTGGATCCAACTATGCCACGACCCCATTGTGCCGCCACCCCACTGTGCTGGGTTTTTTTTTTACTACTAATTTCGATTTCACAATCGTTTATGGGGGTTCAGGAAGTATTTAAAAAATAAGAAATTTTTTGCTACTTTCAAATTATATTTTTGGCTATTATGTTATTTTTATTGATAAATTATACAAGTTAATGTTATTTTAGTTGTGTTTTTTAAGGAAAAAGCTTAATATCTTTCTGTTTAAAATTTACCTATATTATCATTGGTAAGGGCAATGAAAACATTTCTATTTAAAAAAATTGTAAATATTATCATAGTATTTGTAATATTAACTTATTTTACTGTAATGTTTTAGGTTGGTGATGTTATTGAAAGTGAAATAGTTGGTATTGGTAAAATGATTAATCCAGTTGTTGATGATGATTAATTTTATATAAGTTTTTCATACAAAAATTAGTTAATGTAATCAGTTATATTATATTCTTTATGTATTTATAATAATATTATTTATTAATAAATCAAAATAATGATATTACATATTTACATTTATTTTTCTACTTATAAGTAGTACTAAGTATTATCATCCTATTAAATAAAAAGCCCCCATAATCATCTAAAAGTTCTATATTTTAAACGATTCTTACTAATAAACATCTGAGCATTGGCACGTGAGGAGTGTGCTTTCATATGGCAGTGAAACATGGACAATTGACAAGAATGACAGAAGCAAACTAGAAGCATTAGAGCTATGGATATGGAGAAAATGACTTAGACAAAATGGATAAACAAGAAAAGAAATGAACAAGTTCTAGAAGTACGAGAAGAAAGACAGCTGATGAAGGTGGTTGAATCAAGAAAAATAAAGTTAATCGGACACATCATCTGGCACAATGACTTTATAATCAAAATTGACGAAGGAAAAATAACTGGGAAGAATCAAGACGATGCTCAAGGAAACAATATTTTGAAAATATTCTGGAATTTATAAACTGTGCATTTTTTTGGTTTCACTGAAGAATTTGGTGTCAAACAGAGAAGATTGGCTCCATCGACAAGGAATTGCCTTTAATAGATGATGAAATTTTAAATATTTTAGGCATATAATATTCTTGAATAAATGAATTCACAGTATTTGAATTACACCAATAATAATTATCTTTAGGATTTATCTGGCTAGCTACCACTTTTTTTTAGAATTTGAATTTTTCCCAGTATTTGGTTTACAAATATTTTTTGTTTGATACTCTAAGACTATATAATGAGTGATTTGGAGAGGAAAAGTTCACCCACAATTTCATATAGCAAATATAAATATCGAGAAACAAAAATTAAAAATATTGTCAACAGTCAATCAAAAATATTTATTTTCTAATATCGTTTGTCATTAGAAATATTAATATTTTCAAAGATAATATGAAAGTTATTTTTATATTTTACTACCAAGTTAACATTAATTGATAAAATAATGAAAAAAGTCAAAAATTAAGTCTACAAAAATAATAATTTATGTATATTTATGATGTCATTATATTTTAAGAAAATAGGAGCCTAAAGTATTTCTTTAACATACTAAAATTACTATTTTAAAATTTCTTATTTCCTAAACGACTTATTCAATAATTTTTTCTTTGATAAAAAGAAAGTTATATATCTTTTTGATATAATATTTTATAAAAAAATGTCCACATTTTTTCTTTAAAAATTCAATAAATCTTAAAAAAAAATTAAAGTTTCTAATTACCGCACTGATGCACATACTTATAAAATAGTGTATATTTTTATTATATTTTTTATTTTATAGGAATAACATAATTATTTGATTATATGTAAAATATTTTAATAATTTTTAAAATTGTTTTTATTGACACTTTAATTTACAATTTGTACAATGAAATAAAGCTAATATGGCAATAAAAGTATAAAGATGTATAACAGAAATAGATTTTTTACATAATTATTAATTAACAAATAATTAAAAAAAAATTTTTTACAATATAAAATATATTATTTTTTAAATAAATAATATTAAACTATAAATTAATCTAAAATTTGTTGTTTTATTTATTCTGAGCATTTAATATTCTACTAAAAATAAATAATAATACAATTTTTTTTCAAATAATGTTAAACTAAAGCATTTTCTTAAGATAAATGTAAATATAACTATTATTTTCTCAATTACTCATACAGAAATATTAAAATCAACTTTATTTATAAAAAATAAATTTGAAAAAAACAGTAAATATATAATTTTTATAATTTATTAAGCTTTAACAGTCTAATGAACATTTATTTTATAATACTAAAATAGCCATTTTATTTTTGATTCTCATGTTAAATATCAGCTAAAGAATATTTAATCAAGCAAATTATAGCATACCAAATGATCAATATTTATTTTAGTTTTGGTGCTATACTTGATGTAAAAAAAGCTTCATATAATATTAATAATAAAATTAAGTTGTCATAAATAAATGCATTCACCATGCATGATAATTTATACAATTTTTATTATCTTATATTAATAACACTTATAAAATAAATATATTTGTACTACGAAAATAGCAAAAAAAATTTTGAAGTGTTAATTTGATCAAATTTAATGAAGAACTATAATTAATTGGGACATATAGAGGCTAGCTAATTGTTTGTATATAATGAAAAATTTTGCAAAATTTGCTGTAAATCTGTGTTTGCATGTTTAAGTGATTGACGGATATCTTTAATAACCTTACCAACCTAAAAATGAATTGAATAAAAACATAATTAGACTTAAATATGATTTATATTATACATACCATTAACTTAATTAGTGTTGAGCTGGATTGGGTATGAATAGATTTATTATTTGAATTTATACTCCCTAAACAGTCTAGCAATTTCAGTGTTAATGTATCATAGTTACTTCTTACTACTTCTAAAATCTTGAAGCATAAATAAATAATATATAATCATTAATTTTGTTAAAAAAAAAATATTAATTAAAATCTAGATACTGAAATCATACCACCGTTGCATTACCAACTGGGTTATGTAGGCCATCTACCTAGCCCAATTTTTAATTATTATTCATGAGTAGAGATGCATTTAGAGTTTTAATGTTTTATTTCCGCCCATACATACCTATCTAAACATTTTTTACCATACCCCCATTATTATTATATATAATTTTATGAATTCACTTTTTGATAATATTATTATGAAAAATAAAAATCGCAATGTTATCATTATCCAAAATCTTATAATATTTAAATTTTTTGATTAAATGAAAAAATGCTGTTGTCTGGTGCGATGGTACTCCCTCCTTCTAAATATGTCTCTACCTATAAATAATATAATTTGGTTCTGAATTCTAAAATGGATCTGCGATTCTAATATGGTAAATATATGTTTTAAACATTTCGTTGGAAGTAAATTAAATGTTAATATCTGCTTATTTATGTTAATATTACTCAATGTTTTTAAGATTACCAATACATCAATTAATATTTAAATGATTTATCAATGCGTTATAAGAATTGATTATTAAAAATACATTATTAGATAACTCTTTAAAATTAAATATATTAATTATACTAGCAGTTCTTAATACAACCAAAAACTAAATAAAATGCTAAAAATTTCTTATGCATTGTCTACGCAAAACTTTATGTATAAAAAAATAAAATGGCAATATAAGTATTATTTAGATCAAGAAGTTTTAATTAAAGAATGAACAATTTAGTTTAAGTAAGAGCCATATAAAAAATTTTCTAGAGTAATATTAGTCTCCATGCTATACAGGGTGATCGAAATCTGGTAAGACACTTTTTTTCTCTGAAACTATTGAGAATTTAAAATTTATGTAAAAAGAAAAATTATTAAGTTTACAAAACTCTACAATAATATGAAGTTAAATGAATTTTTTTTTATCCCTTCTGGGATAAAAATGTTTATTTATAATTTTTTTTAAATGGGAACCACTATTTTTGATTTGATAATATGATAGAATAAAAAATCACAAACAATTTTGTTATTATAATTTTTTTTATCTGAACAACCGTTTATGTTTTATAATTGTTTAAAGATTTTGACTTCCAGAAAAAATTTTGTCATTTATTACGTTTCGTAATATCGGTGGCAGTGCAAACGGTAATTTTGTTAAATCCTTTAGTCTTACAAAACCATAGACTTAGCTATTAATAATACACCGAAAACCCGGTTTGAATATATTATTGTTATCACTCATTTAGTGCGTAGTAAATTTTTATTGCTAATTACCTGTCATAACTTGATAAATAAAATTTGGTTTATACAACAGCAAATAAAAATAATGACTTCTGTATTTAATTCAGTAAAATGACAATAGAAATTTGGCCTAAAATCACTTAACTTTAACAAGCTGTAACGGACGAACGGTTAATCGGATAAAAAAATTATAAGAACAAAATTGTTTGTAATTTTTTTCTATCATGTTATAAAGTTAAAAATAAGGGTTCCCATTTAAGAAAATTATAAATAAGGGTTTTTATCCTTGAAGGGACGAAGAAAGTAATGGTTTGACTACATATTATTGTAGAGTTTTTTGAACTTGATATTTTTTCTCTATAATAAAATTTAAAATTCTCAATATTTTCTGAGAAAATGAGTGTCTAACCAGATTTTGATCACCCTGTATAGTCAGTATATGGTTGAATTTTGTTTATACTTACATCCTCGCCAACTGGTGTTGTTACTGAATTTTTTTCCAGCCAATTATCAATTTTTGGGATGTAATGATTAATTATTGCTCTAAATAATAATAAAATTTTACTATTATGTCATTGTATTAAACATAAATTATGCAAAATTACCTTATATTTATTAAAGAATTAGATAATTTTGAAGCAGATGTTTTGTATTCACTTACTGTTAATGAATTTCTTGATGCTTATATGTAACAGACATAAGAGCAATTGAAATTGGCTTTTAAGTTTTATTTACAAAATAAAAATAATAGTCATATTATTAGATGTAAGGTAGTATATAATAAAATTTAATATAGCTATAAGCTTATAACTAGATTAAAAAAAGTAACTTATCTTTCAAACATATACAAAATAATTATTCATCCATTATATTTTATAGAGATGTCCTCTATTACAGTAGCGTTCAAAAGTATTTTGACAATCAGTTTAAACCACTAAAAACCATGGATCTGCAAGACAATAAGTAGCCGACCTTTTTTAGTGAAGAGTGCAGCAGTCTGCAGCTGTTATCCTTTGGAAAAGAAGCTGACAACGTAAGCATAAGTAAAAAAGTCTGTTTTTTTCAAAATACGGTGCTCAAAAGTATTTTGACAGGTGTATTTGTTAGCACTAACATCTATTTTATTTTGTAATTACTTTGCTTTGAGCGCTACTGTAAATATAATGGAAGAACCTAAAAATTAATTTATAACAGATACATGTCAATACATATGTTACTAACAAAAACTCCCCAAAAAATTATAAAAACTTATTATTTTAAGAGAAATGGAGTAACTAGCATTTAAGAATCACCCTGTACCTTCATAGTAAAAAAAAAATTAACAATATAAATTTCAAAATGTTTTACCTTTATTCTATGCCTAATGAAGTTAATATTAAGTTAAATAAGATTTAAGTTATCATAGAATTATTAATTTTTAGTTTTCCCATTTATATCACCTTACATTTTATAAAAGTTAATTTTGTTAAAACTAAAGTTGGTTTACTGATTGTAAACATTTTTTATATTGGACTTAAATTTAAAAAAAATTGATAAAAAACAATGAAAATATTTCTATTAAGTCTTATATTAATGAAAATAATTGTCTTAAAAGAAGAATCAATATGAAACATATTGATAAAAAATACAGCACAGGGGGGTCGTGGCACAGTGGTGATGTTGCATAGTTGGATCAAGTATAATGATATCTGACAGTGATTAAAATCACTATTAAAAAAAACGCTTCGATGCAAATCATTAAATAGTGTTTAATTTTAAAAAATTGGTGTATTATTCCAAAAGCTACATGATCTACTATTTCTTTATTTATATCCCGATATTTATTAAGATAAAGCATGTCGAATGAAAAAGGTATATAAATATGATTTCTAATAAAAAAATTGTGTTGATCCATACACTTTTCAAAAAGTTATGGCATTATAAAGTAAAAAATAAAAAAATTTTTTTTTTACAAAAATCATATTTTTTTTATTAACTTTGATGTCTGTTTTCACCGTGAAGACAAAATAAAGTCCGAAATTTTTTTTTTCATAATAAAGTATATTATATTAGCTTTAATTTAAGATATATATAAAAGTATCAATTTTCCGAAACAATTTCAAAAGTTCAGTTAAAGATGAAGGTAACACCGAAATCATATCTCCTGGCGGCAGGTAAAACGCAGGGAAGGCCACCCGTAAAAACCAAATATGGAAGCAAACCATGTTAAAAAAACAGTTACCGCTCTAGGAGTTTCGGAGATTTCAGGGCCGGCTGGAGAGAGTGCCGCTGCAGGCTTGACCCGGTCGTCATCCAGCGACTGCATAAAAACCGTTGCACTGTTGAGGCAGGGTCCAGGGGGGGTTCGCGCCCAAGTTACTGCTAGAGTATGTGGGGAGCAGGCATCCTCCGGTGTCCTTAGGTTACTGCCGAAAGTCGCGACTTCAATCGTGATGTGGTAAAGGAGTGGTCGGGCATTAGAGGTCGTTTTGGCAACGATATCCCTATGTCCCGCTCTGAATTTGATAGGTGGTCAAAGATTGCGGAGCGCCTAGAAGACTGTCTCAGCACAAGAGTAATCCTACTTTTGTGGCCGCAGGCATGGGTCTGAGGGACGCAGTCGAGGCATACGATTATGCCAGCTGGTTAGCCCAGAAGGGAAGTACTTTGGGAAACTCGCCTGGGGAGGGATCTAGTCTGCCCGAACTGGCGAGCGATCCAGACATTGATGAACATGATGTTGTGCGGTGGAAGAGGAAGGAGGCGTCCCCAACTGCGGACGGAGCCGGGCCGGTCATCCTGGAGGACACCCCTCCGGATGCACCCATCCCCCTACTGAATACACCTGGAAGGGCTCCCGAGCTCAAAAGGAGGAAGTGCGGGAAGATTGCGGCTGCCGACCTCTTCAACGAGGACGGTACACCGCGGTCTAAACTGGACCGTAAATCACGGTCGGTCTCGCTCTGGCGTGCTTGCAGGCGCAACGGCTTGAGAACATCATGGTTCTCATAGTGCCGCCGCACGACCACGTTAGATTGACTGTGAGAGATCTGATAAGGAGCGTTCGCTCCTTGAACGATCTCGAACAGACCCGCACTCTGGAGGAGTAGGTGCCGACCATGGAAACGGCAACGCAGACGGAGGCTACAGTAAGTGTCCGATCACCGGAGCCGATACATTTACTGCACTTGGCGAGAGCGCGCCACCCGTCGTCCCGTCACCCACTGCCAAGGTGGTTAAGCGGGTGCGGAAAAGACGGCGCAATGCTGCTCGATGTTGTGGAGTGGATAGTGGAAGAGAGAGTGACAGCGCCCACCGGTTCAGTGTCAGTCCGACTGCACGGGAGCGGCAAGGGCCGCTTCGCGTGGTGCGAGGTGCCCATTAGGGCTTTGCAACCGTTGGTTAGGCTGACACGGCTCAGGGTGGGATGAGTTATGTGCCGGATCCGAGTCCCAAAGGAAAAGGGACCGCGCTGCTACAGGTGCCTCGAAAAGGGTCACGTGCAAACGGCCTGTAGCGGTCCTGACCGGACCGGCGCGTGTTTCACGTGCAAAACAGAGGGCCACCGGGCAAGGAATTTCTCCAAAAGGTGGGAGGGCCGGAGAAGCCTACTTAAGATATTTCCTGACCTCCTCACTATTTGTGTGTTTTTGTGTTAGTGAATTTTATGCCGACCCATAGCAAAGCCCTACCCCCACCTCCACGTGATGTGACCTGGGTGGCAATGGATCCCACTCTGGGATCCGGCTAACGGGGGAGGCCACACCACGTTGTGAATTTTATAGCGACTTCGGTCACCCTGAAGCAATACATCAAGGTAGTCCCAGGGCGGCCGCCGACATCATATCGACCGTGTTAAAAAAAAAAAAAAGGGTAATGTCTTCACTAGATACATCTAGATACTAGATACGGTTTGTGATCTTATGACGCATTGTTGAAAGAAATCGGTCCAGTGAGAGCTGAGAAAAAGTGGTAGCAGACAAAAAAAAAAAAAAAAAAAAACAACAGTTATGTTGTGAAATAATGTTTCTAGAAATTACTATGAAATAAAATGTATAGCTTTAAAAATCAAGATATCAAGTATAGTTGTATTCAGCAATGCTGTCTTAATACAAAATAAAAACAATAGTATCTTTGCATATTATTAATTTATTTTTCGACTAGTTTGATTTTATAAAATATTAATTACTAAATAAAAATGATTAGATAGAAAAGTGGTTTTTTAAATGAAAAAAAGGGTGTAAGGCATTGATGAAAAAATAATGTCACATTGAAAATTCAACTTGATTATGACAAAAATAAGATAAGTAAAAAAAATTTAGATTTATAATTGAAAACTAATCATATTTTTTTAATATGAATATTTTTCAACTATGCTGTCACTAATGAGCTATTTTGGTTACTTACATAGTACATAAATATTATCAAATACTGTGTGCATTCTAATGATTTCATAATAAAGTTCATCATAGCTGTTTGGAGAAGGTAGTAACATATCACCATATGTGATAAATAAATTGAATATATTGACAACCTAAAATTTAATTTAAAAATTAATCATCTCATAATAATAACAATGAACTTGGTAGCGATAAAATTTTTCTTTTATAATTGAACCTTTCAAATTTTAAAATCTATATTAACTTAAAATTAAAAAGCCCAGCACAGTGGGGATGTGGCATAGTAGGGTCCAGTATAGATTGAATCTGACAGTGTTTAAAATAACTATCACAAGAAATGCTTTAATGCAAATCTGTAGATAGTGTTTAATTCTAACGAATTGGTGAATAATTACAAAAGCAACATCAACTTCCATTTCCTTAATTTTATCCAGATTAGTAATTCTTAGATTCAAAAATACAATATATAATTTTTTAATTATATATCATATAATTATAATTGTTTTCAAATTATTATTGATTTTGATTTTTAATATGTTAAAAGTAATCATTTTTAACCTACTTTTTTAAATTTTTTCCTTAATTTTTTTTTGAGGTGAAAAAAAAAATTAAAAATGAATAATAATAAATAACAATCAATCAAAATATTCAATGAATATAGAGGATCCTCCATTTTTGTCTACCCTTGTAAGAAGGACTTTCTTATTGATATTAAAATAAATTACTATATGGTTTATTTTTGTCGTTAATTTTTCTCAGCTTTCAGTTGACTAATTTTAATGACCAAAACGTTAAAAAAACATAATTTTAATCTTCTTGAACTTATAATACCCAAATATTGGAAAAAATTCTTTAATTTTTTAGATTGATATGTGATCAAAAACTACTAAAATTAAACAATATCTACAGATTTTCATCGAAGCGTTCTTATGATAGTGATTTTAATCATTGTCAGATATCATCTATACTTGTCCCAACTATGCCATGTCCACATTGTGTCACGACCCCACTGTGCTACCGTTTTTTTTAAATTCACTTCAACTGATTTAAATTAACCAATTATAAATGTATATGTATTAGTAATAAATTATTGTTATTAAAAATAAATATTTTAATATTAAAATTAAAGTTGTATAAATTAAAAATATTTATTTACATTATTACAATAAATTGTGAACAATCATGAAACATAAATGTTTATTGAACTTATACTTTCATCAAACAAAAGAATCAAATTAATGCGACTATCGCGCATCATGGTTGGTAATACAGTTAGCCGTCACATTCAGTTATCATGTTGACAATATGTTTAGCCATCACAGACAGTCCACACAGAAATATTTGAATCTATCCGTGACTGTCAAACATTACAGCCAACCGTAATGTGCGTTAATCTTTTTTTTTTTTAAAACTTCAAAAAATATTCTAGCTATCAATAGCTTATGATAAATTACATTTTAAATTTCATACTGAAATTATAATTAACTAATAAGGTTCAGAATAATCAAACTTTCTTTTCTTTTTTATGATTCGTTTGATTAACTACAATATTAAATTATTAAAAATAAATTCCAAACTATATAAAATATATAATAAAAATTAACCACTTGTGACTAATATTATTTAAAATTAAAAATATTTCAGTTCTCTATAACACAAAAGCAATTATAACTCTAAAAGCAATTGCTTTTAGAGAGGATATTAAACATGATTATTAATTGATTTTAAAAAATGTGAGTTTATGCTGTATTTGACATAATCCAAAAAGTCTTACTAAAAATAAAGTACAATCTATAGATTTGCATCAAAACATTTTTTATATTAATGATTTTAATCATGGTCAGATTTCTATTATACTAGTATAATATTATATTGATGTTAATTTTAACCTGTCTCGACTACTTAATTATTCATTGTGCTAAAAATGTAAATATTAATCTATATTGAATGCTATGATTGATATATTAACTGTTTTTACTTAGAAAAATTTGTAAGCTTGAAAAATAATAAATTTAATTTAAAGTTTATAAATTATAATTGATATTTACTTACAAATTGTTAGTTAATCATTGATACTGTTGAGTGCATACCTGTATTCCTAAATCAAAAATATTGATTTCTTGTGAAAGTTGATGTTCATAGGTGATTAAAAATTTTAATAGCATAATTAAAGAGCTCCATAGATCTTTCCAGTTGTAGGATAATCGAATACTATTTTGTTTTTGATAGCAGATGATGCGATGAATTATAGTAGTACATATCATATATTGATCAAATGGTAATTTTTTCATCATGTGTCCAAGCATAAATTCAATCATAAGATCTAAAAAACAACAATTGAAATTTTGTTAAATATTTTAAAATATTTTTTTATTTTACCTAAAAGAGCAGCTGCTAAAGGTTTTGCTGATTTATCAGGCATAAACATATAACGTCTGTTAGGGGGCCTGTAAAGTTCTACTTTAAACTGTAAGTTAACATCATGCATTAATGAGTTAGCAAATTGATCATCAGTCATAGTACATAAAATAACAAAACATAATAATGAATTATTAGCATTCACTTCAGTCTTGGTGTCTTGCATTACAACCGAGCTAATAAAAATAATTTTATAAATAATTTTTATAAGTACCACAATGTAGAGATTATTTACATACCAATATTGAAAAAAGGTGACTAGTAGATTTGAAAATTGATTAACTGTGGATGGAATAGTATCTAAATTAGCAACTGCGGTAGCTTGTGTTTGTTGTTTAATACTTGGATGCATTTCATAGCCATTAGAAATATGACAATGAGTTAGTGTGGTCATAAAATGTCTATTATAATGTACAGCTTTATATAGAGATATGAGAATACCACTTATAGACCTAAAATATGACTTATAATTAAATTGTCAATTAAATATTAGTGATCAATAAAGTAAAATAAAATTTTGTCATCAATATTTTATAAAATTTCATTATACTCAGTTTTTTACATCTTTTGTTAAATAAATGATCAAGTTAAAATCTTAACCATTTTGAGTATAAATCATATTAATGGTTATTAAATAGCTTTCTTTTAAAAGAAATTTTTAGTTAGTTTAGGGAACATGATATGTGTTGCTGCAAAAATTCATACAAGGTTACCTATCCAGTAAAGAATAGCTAATAATGCAGCTCAACATCAGTACTAAGGTGGCGACTGAATAAATCATCCACTGCACCATAACTACACCCAACTTTTATCGTATAATAAAGTAAACTGAAAAATATTTCAGGAAAATATTATTTCTTAAAAATAACTTTCATTAAATATTAATTATTTTTGGTGTTTTTTTCAGTGTCATGATTTTAACAAATATTTAATAATTTTTCAATTTGTTTTAACAACCAATGATAAGTGACAAAAAATGTTAAGGCTTTTGAAAAATATATTTATGGCACTCTTTAATAAAAATATTATTATTGTAGTTGAGATATTTTTGGAGACTTAAATATACCATCTTTCAAAATAATTAGTTATGAAATAACCTACCTGATTTCTTTGGGAATTTCAATGTTTTGTTCTACATTAGTATTTGGTACAAAAAGCATACTACTAACAGCATTAGTAAATGCATTTAACCAAGTATTGTTTGATTGGTGAGAAATTTCTTCAGATCGGTACTGGCAGCAAATTTCTTCTAATGACCAACGAATAATCTTTAAAAGTAATACTTTATTTAATATTAAAAATGAAGTTTAAAATTTTCTAATAAAATTACAATTAATGATACAATATTTTTAGTTAGTTAATAAAAATACTAATATAAAATTTTAATTTATAAATAATTATTCTAACTAATAAATTCATCAGCACCTGACTATATCCATTTAAAACATCTTCTTTGTCAAGTAATGATAATTTTACTATATAAGGATTAGTTTGTTTATCTGATTCTACACTCATTAACAGTGTTAGTAATAAAATTGAATCACAACCATGATAAGTTCGATAAATATTATTAGAAAGTATCTGTGAAAATAGAATTGATAATTTAGTATATTATTATAATAGTAAAATGTAATTTTTATTACTTCAATTAAAGATTCAAACACACTATTAGACATTAAATGACAAATAATTCGATTATCACTGAGATTATCAGTTCCAGTAACTATTGTCAGTAATAGTTGTAGACACAGATCTTTGACAACAACACACTCAGGTTCTTAAAAAAAGAAAAAATTATATAAAGAATAATTTTTTGCTTTGTACAAGGGAGTGCTCAATAGGGAAGGATAGCGTTCATAACTCCATCATGAAAATAATTATATTATTAAGATACATTTTCTTTTGATAAAAAAAGGTACTAAGATAATTTGTATAAAAACGCATCCTTTATACAAATTTTTAAGCACACCCAAAATTAAATATACTTATGACTTGATGCAGAAACTTATGAACAGTTTTTTTTAAATTGTTATTACCAAAATTAAATGCACAAATACAATATATATATATATATTTATATATTAAAAGACAGTAATAACAAATTATTAAAATCAAAATAAATTATTACCTAAAATTTCAATTAAGTAATTTTATTTATTTATGGTGTACAATAGATTATTCATTTTTTTAGATAAAATAAATAAATTTATATCTAAATTAATGGTCAATAAATATTAAAATTTGAATAATGTAACTTACCGCACAACATTAAGTTGCATTTTTTCAATAAATTTTCAAAAATAATATCAGTGTCTTTTGGATTAACAATAATAGGCGTGAAATCAAAAATTGGATCAAGCCTGCATTTTTTATATAAACTACTTATAATAGAAGTCAATGTCTAAAAATATATAATGAAATGACTTAGTAATAAAGAAAATTTATTAGAACAACAATTTTTTACTATGGTTTAATATTTTAAAATACATAATTGGATTATATTGTAGATTGTTTTGTAGGTTGAGTAGATTGTTTAAATTTTCAAACTTAATTATTTTAAAATTTATTTTTTTGATTCATAATATAAACATTTTAATGATACAAAGTAGTCATGAAGTAATAAATTTCAAAAAATAATATTCTGGTTACATTTATTTTGACCTGAGGCTTGCAGAACCCCTTCTTTCATTAAAAATGTATATATATATATATATATGATTTAATAACAAAAAGTTTAAATTGAAATTAACTTAAAATATAAAAGAGGCACTTTACTTTAATAATATACTAATGGCCTAGGGTGTTTCTATCAATTATAAGATGTATATATAAAAATTATATTATACAGAATAATTTTTTTGTCTTAACCCACTCAATATGCAAAGAATAAAAATAATTTTGAAATTTATTTTTTTTAGTTGGAAATGCCCATTTTAAAAGAAAACTTAAAATACTATCAAAGTACTTACTACTAAAGCAATTTTTTTACAAAACAAGATATTGTCTAATTAAATATCATCTGTCTCTTAGGAAAATAACAAGATGCACAAACCAAAACTTTTAATTTTGAAACCAATTTTTAAATTTTATTTCATAAAAAAGAAATACCTTTAATGAAAAAATGACTCTTAATTGATGATGTTGTTCAAAGGTTTCAATACACCTTAAAAACAAAACTTGCATATTATTTTTCAATGTAAAAAGTTTTTCAATTGTTAGTTTTTCAATCTCTGCTTCAATAAAAGAAGTCTAAAGTAAAAATACAAGTACATATTTTATAAAATTAATGAAATTTATGAATCTAAAAGAAATATTTTCAAAAATTTACTTTTGGCTTAAGTAGAAAGAATTCATCCCAGAAGTTATCATTATCTTTTGAAATATCTTCACCCTAAATGGAAATTCAAATATACATATACATATACATTAGGGTGTCCCTTATTTATAAAATTTAAAAATTACGAAGTGCCACCCCCTAGAATTATTCGAATACATGATAAAATAAATTGTACAAAATTTGGAGACGATTGGTCAACTCTAAGACGTGCCCCAAGGGGGTTAAAAATAACCCCCCAAGGGTGATTTTTTAGTTTTTTTTGCCTATCTCAAAAAATTTAGCTATTGCGAAAATGTTTATTTGGACTTTTTTGTAGGTATATAATTTTTCTATAAAAAGTATTTATACAAAAATTTTCGAAAAGTTCTTATTTAACCCTAAAAAAATAAAAACGTATATGTTCTATTCTTACCGTTGAAATTGTTAATTTATAATCATTGTAAAAACATAAAAAAAATTCATTTAACCGTTGTTTTAAATTTAATTTTCTATACATTTTTTCTATTATTTACTATTATATTATTTATGATTGTTCAAATCCTACAATTTTTTTAATTTTAATTAAAAAAAACACATCAGAGTAAAATTAATACCGTCTCAGTTTCACATTGAAGCTAAAATAATGTTAACTTACAAATTTATATACAACCAGAAACTATTTAAAAAAAAAAAACGTACTAAAAAAATTTACTACATATTTTAAATAATTTATCTTTTTTAAAATTCTTGGCATAATGTGCTTCTATTGCAATTAGGAAAACAACGCCGGTATTCTATAACAATCTGTAATAGATATTGTTTTTGTGCTTCGTCTTTTGTTAAAATATTATTATACTCTTCTATGAGTTTGACGCCCCTCTCTGCCAAATCATTTATAACTTTTAAAATATTTACTATTATTTTTCTTCTGATATATTGACTGTTGTCTTTCCAAAACAAAGGATTGATATTTAAAAAATCTGTTTCAATGTCATATCTTTCAAACATTTTTTTTGACTCAGTTGAAATAAAATCATCTATACTTTTATTTTTAAAATCATTAATTTCATTTACTCCTACTACTATACGTTTGTTTGTACATGGATCTTCTTCCCGATTATTTAATGAGTTTACCATTTTAATTTTAGTATCTTCACATAAATCATCATCAAAAAATGCTAATGCTGCCGATTCGGATACTAAGTACCATAAGTGACCCAAAATTTTTTTTTAAAACTACTTTAGAAATATCTTTATCTATTGGTTCATAATCAATTATATTTTTAATAAATTATAAATCTAAATTTGGCGCTAATGCAGCATTGGTGCACTTAATCATTGTTTAATATATAAACTTGTAATAAAAATACATAATGAACGAATATTTAACTCTTTGATTGACAATTCAAATTGGCCCCGAAACAAAAAAATTTTCAAACAATTAATGGCCTTGGCCATCTAACGAGCATGATGGATTGGGCCAGGAATTTTAAAATAAATTCTATGCAAATGTTAGGGCGTGATATTTTATACTTACCATGCAGACATCACATTTATGAAATTATATTGAAAAGTGTTTTTGAAGTAAAATTTAATACGTCATCTGAACCAGATGTTCCTATTTTCAATAAATTCCAAAAGTCTTGGCAAAATATAAATAAAACAAATTACTTAAGTGGAATAGAAGATACTGTTATTTTAGAAAAATTAAAAATAAAAAAAAA